GAGGTACTAAATCACATATCAGGAGGTTCTATGAAGCACAAGGGCTGTAGAGTGATTTCTGTGTCACAGTTGGAGACAACACATAAACTTACTGAGGATTTCAGGTCCAATTAAAGGAGGGCATTTCCGTATAAGAGAGTGCTCAGCAGCTGTGATCACTCATGTGCTCCTGTGTACTGGCAGTGCTGTTCTTTCTAACAATTTCTTTGTTGTGCTTTTTAACGATGACCAGATCTTGCGTGTCAACTCCTCTTTTTAAATACAGACTTCTGCATTAGCTCAGAAGACACAATTAGATCTGATGCTACTTGTTTTGCAGAGAAAAGAGATTAAGTGCAGATAAAGTTTTGGGTAGATTGCAAATGAAGGAAAACAAAAGATCGGAAGAAGAGCTTCTTAAAAGGGAATGGTTTCAATTTGTGCAGTTGTGTTTTGGACCCAGTAGTAAACCAGACTGTCAACAGTACAGTGAAGCTGACAAGCTAACATCATAGGATCATTCAAGCTGGAAAGGAACCTCAGGAGGAATATTTAGTCCAATCTTCTCCTCATCAGGTTCATCTTAGAGCTTAGGGTGTTACCCTGTTTGGGTCTTCAAAATCTCCAAAGGTAGAGATTGCCCTTTGGGCCACCAAATCTAGTCTGTCAATATTTTCACTGGGAAAATGGTTTCCTTGCATCCAGTCTGAACTTGATGGGTTTTCAGTTTTGCCCAGTGTGTCTTGTCCCCCCCACCATGCCCACTGTGAAGAGTGACCTCCTTTTTGGTGCTGTGGGGCTGCTGTAGGCTCCTCTCAACCGCTGTCTGCCCCAGGCTGAATGAGGCCTCATCCCTCAGCCCTTCCAGGGTCAGTGCTCAAGCCCTGGCCATGTAAGGGGTTCTCTGCTCACTCCAGTTTATCATCATCATCATCTTTTCTTTTCTGGGGATCCAAAACTGAACATGATACTCTAGATGGAGTCCAGTGAGTCCTGAGGAAGAAGGAAATGGTCCGTTTCTTCCATCTCCCAACTCTGCACCTCGTCACACAGCCCAGCATGTTGTTGGCCCTCTTTGCTGCCAGGGCAGACTGCTGGCTTATGCCCAGCTCTCTCTGCCAAGATGCCCAGGGACTTCTCAGCAAAGCTACTCCCTCTGGGCAAATCCCAGCTGGCACCACTGCAGGGGGCTCATCCTTCCCAGGTGCAGGACCTTGCACTTGTGCCTGTTGACTTTTACAAGGTTCCTGTCAGCACATTCCTCCAGCTTCTCCAAGTTCCCTGAGGTGGCAGCCCTTTCCTCAAGCATAACAACTGGCTCTGGCATGATGCATTGCTAAATTGTCAGCAGAGTAAATAAACCATAGAAAGCAAGCAGATTCCTCTCTTCCACTTTAAATCTCTTAAAATTACCTTCAATTTTAGAACTCTTCAACATCTACTTGTAGCAGTAGAGCAGAAAAAAATATTGTAGCCTTAGGTATTGTGCTTAAATGGATAGCATAATCCCAAATTTGTATTGGCCTGGCTGCTTGTTCTTCTAAATGGGGAAAAATACATTATCTGGGATCAAGGTATTGCAAGAGCAGATACTCTAGTTCATACACAATGCACAATTCTCTCACCAATACATTTTAATGTATTTGTATATGTTGCCTGCATGCAGAAATGTCAGGAGCTGAAGTTTCCTTCATTCCCTTGGAGGGTAACTGTATCTCACCAGGAAGACATCTTTTCATTATGCTAAACTTAAGTGTATCTTTTCTTAATTTCTTCCTATTATTCTTAATTGCATCATCCCTAAGCAACCCAGCCCTTGGTGTTTATGTGGCAAATACTGTAAAATTTATACTTAGCTGAGTTTGTACTGCTATAAAATTCATAGCTGGCCAGTTGAATTTTTGCCATTAGATGTCACTACGTGTACAGCAGACTGCTTTTAAAGGCTTGATTTTTATTTAGCATCCTGGAAAAATGGAGGAGGGAGTTGGGAGATGTAGGAGAGAGTCTAGTACTGTAGTATGTTGGATATGCCTTAACTAAAAGCAGCACAGAAGGAAACATAAGATTTTTGACTTAACTCCAACAACCAACAGATGATGCTGTGACCTTAAGCATATATAAATATGTTTAGCAGCTGCTGTGTAACATATTTATAAGTGTTTAGTGACCTGGAGGTTAATCAAAATGAGTTTGGTGATCTCAGCTCAGTTCTTAATGGACTCCACTTCATATTATGGCACTGATGCAGCACAATTTGTCACAGTCGGCAGTCTTTACTCAAAGGAGGCCTACTGTGGAGTGAGAATTAAAGGCTGAAGTAATACCTGATTATTTCTCCCTAAAGAAACTTTCCATTCCAAGCCATCCTAGAGCAAAATAATATGTGGAGGAGCTCTGTACTGCTCACTGCACCCAATCTGATAATAAAACAGCATTTACTCTGACAGTATGTCCTTTCAGTGTTACTGAATTAGCTCATGCGTGCTGCGGTCAGGGCTTTGATAGGGGGCTGGGAAAGGACAAAGTCCTGCCAGGGATGGTGCTGAGTCTTTTCACTTGCTGGGCTCTTTCCAGAGACAGAGAGTTGTATCTGTTCCAAGTGCAACATTACATGGGAGGATGAAAGGGAAAGCTATTGCCTTCCCCAATGAAATTTCAGAATTAGGTTCTGCCATTCAAGTTCTTCTGGGTGCAGAAGCAATTTTTTTTAGACTTCAGTTGTTTTCTTTCTGTCCTGGCCAAAGCCTGTATATTCTTTGTATTTAATTTCCACTCTCCATCTAAACTGGAAATAGTTTCCTACTTTTTGATTTAAAGCTGTTGTACAGCAGTGTGCTTGCATGAGCTGCAATTGAGATTGATGTCCATTGTGGGTAACATGAAACAGGTTGTACTTCAATTTGAGACAATGAACAGCCCCACAGCTTAGAAGATACTCATGCTAGGAAGTAATACTATTGAAATATTGGTAGGTAAGGACCAATTTCAGCTTACCTGCAAGGTGTGTGTCTCCTGTGTATTTTTAAAGTAAAAGAAGGGCATTAAAGAGATAGATACCTGTAGAGGCTGGCCTTTTCCAGGATCCTAGCCTTACTCCACAAAAGAACCTCTGAAAATCCATTACTTCTTTTTTCAAGTATGAAAATACGCTTGCACATTTTTTTCATCTTCCCGAGTAACTTTACCCAGTAACAGAAAGGACCTTGCTTATCCACCATAGAAAGCATTTTTTCAGTTAACTGCATTTGCTGAAATATAGCAATTTTCAACTAGAAAAGGGGGGGGGGGGTTAAGATACAGTATTTACATAAGAAAAGCTTGGATGTGTGACTGAAATCATTTATAGTTGTTGCCAAATCGTTCTACTCTTCTCTTTTCCCTTTGTAATTTCCCTTGGAGCATTGCACCACTGTGCATTTTAAATCTTTTCCCTCCACTTCTTGTTGCAAGCTTCATCTGGGAAATGACATTGTATGGCAGTTATCTCCTTCATATCAAAAGAAAGCCTTTGCCTCTTTGCAAGAGTGAAGAAAAGTTTGTCTTCAGAGAGCAAAGGACAAAACTGACTTGGAAAAAGATGCTTTATTTAGATAACACGTTCTCTTTTCCTTTGAAGAAATTCACAGTGTGTCAAGAAAAATTAGGCCAAATAGTGCTTTAATGGTCTTCCTGTACCTCCTAAAAAAGAAATCTGCTTCTACCAATTGTGTTAAGAATCTGCCATGAGTTTGGAAAGACAAGAAGGCATTGAAGTTACTCAGGGTTCTTGATTTAGGAGTTGTCTTTTTTGATTTGAATACTGTAAAATAATTAAAAGTACAATTTCTACCAAAACTCTCATCTTGCTACCCAGACATTCAGCTTTCCCTTCCTGTAGGATGAAATTAAGTGCTTCGTTTTTTGTAAGGAAATAAAAGTTAACAGGTACTAAAGCTGTGTAAAAGGGTGGTTGCTTTCTTGTTTCTTTTATTTGGAAAAGCAGCAGAAATGTACAGGGGGCACACTGAAGAAAGACCTCTGAGCTTTGTATTTTCCTATGTATTTTCCTATGAATATACAAGTATTTTTCTGTGTCTTTTATTCATATGTATTATTTTATATGTATAAGTGTTACTCATATACATATGATAATACATGCAGTCTTCTACTATACTAAGAAAAGGTAGGTAATTGTTTTATGTATTAAAAGAATAAAAGGTTATTTTTTAAGGTAAATCATGCATTACATTGGGTTATCATGCTTACTTGAATTAGATTATTTTCTTCCTTATGCCTCAGTTTTTCTGTAGAGTTTGACAAATCAGGTACTAAGCATACTTAGATACTTCTTAGAACTTAAAAGAAGATAAGTTTTAGTCTTTCAAAATACTTGGTCTGAACATGTGGAGAATTATGCAAGGGCTTCATTTAGGGCAGTTTTTGAGACAAGTTTAAGTCTCAGTTATACAATCATTATACAAATATGCTATTAATTTTCAAAAGCAAAATAGTTCTGCTGAGGTTTCTTGTTTCAATGAAGTGGAATATGTATGGAAGTTTTTGAAAGATTGGGCATGGATGATGCATGTTCAACACAATAACTACAAATGCAGAAATCAGAAATTGAATCTATAGTACCCATTTTTCTTTTGGCCATTTCACTGTTTATTAAGCTCTGGCAGGTGAGAATTGCTATTACATGGTCAAAATGGTAAGAATGGTGATGTGCTGGGGCTTTTTTTATGCCAATGCTAGATTCTAATTTTGGCTCCTGATCATATTGCTGTCTACTCATAGGATATATAATGTGAGCTGTATTTTTCTTCTGATTGATAGTGACATAGAAAGACTCTGTACAGTTCTATTTCACATCTATGATAATTAGCTCAAGACTAACTCAAAGCTCCCTACGTAGGTAAAATGAACTAATTACCTGCTTTCTCCTTACAAACAATAGGTGATGTGCTCTGTGACAAACCACAGCATCTTCAGCAATGAGGTCTGTAATGAGATATTGTATGTGTGCTTTCCCCTCCTAGGCAAGGCAATTTTCCTGCCATGAATCAGAGCGGGATGATGGGCTCCAGCTCCCCCTACACTCAGCCAATGAACAACAGCTCTGGCCTGATGAACCCACAGGCTCCTCCTTACAGCATGGCACCCAACATGGTGAACAGCTCAGCAGGTAATGGTGAGTAACTTTCCAGCAGTGACCTTCCTCCACATCCTGCTCAGCACTATCAGCCCTGGGCTGGTGGCAGAGGGATGTCCTTCTTCATTTGATTCACCCCTGTTGGGTAGTTTGGAGTGATTTGAAATCAGGCTAAGGGGCTCAGGTATTTTTTTTGTACAGTAACTGATACATTTTTCATTAAGTCCTTCTGCACGGCACGTAGATGAGTACAGTGTTTTGCACAGTTCCAGCATCTCTTGGACTCAGCTCGCTGTAGGTGTTGCCTAGCAAGTATATGTATATCTGTGTGTCTGTCTGCAAGACAGGGAAGGAGAACAGCTTCTTGTTTTAAGAGGTTGCTTTTGGTTTTCAGCATTTTACTTGCTAAGGTTGCAATTTCAGATATTTCATGTGGTAGTCTTTTAAAAAAAGAGATGTGCACTTGCTCTGACTTGAAGATGCTGTAAGGTGAGCACTTAATATAATTATTCTGTTTGGAAAACATAGGCCATATTTACTGTTTTCAAAATTTTTATAGCATTTCCTCATTTAGTATCGGTATATAAAATTTTACCATAACTTCCTCTTGCAAAAAAAAAAAAAGGCATATTCAATGTAGCTCCTGGATTTATCCTTCATATCATGATTTATGAGTTCAGAATTGCTTGTAGCTTTGTGTGTGACTCTGAAGACAGGTGAATACAGTTTTGCACAAATGTGCTTCATGGTCCATATTCAGCTTGAATTCCTAACAGTTATCCTCCTTCAAGATAATACTTCAGCAAAGATCAATTCTTTGATTGGGCTGTGTTTGGATGGAGTTTCAATGACCCTGAAGCAGAGCCTCCCAAGTACTTATTCCAGTCATGGAGTTTCTGTGCATGCCTTATTGATTACATTATCCCTTTCAGAAATGTTGGGGGTTTTGAAGTTTTTTCTGAAAGCTGAATAGGTTGTGCTAAGGTAATACAATGTTGTTTCTTAATTGTTTTTGTTTCTACTTTTATTTATTTCTTAAGAAATGCCTTACTACCTAAATTGTGTCTTACCAAGAGCCAGGTTTTTCACGTCTTTTGCTCTACCCCTCTGAGTCTGTGTAATTCTTTCATCCTTTGCATCTTTTGCTGTCTTTTCTCCCTGTCAATTCTGTATGTTCTGGTGCCTTTGGAAGAAAATAGCCACAGTGAGATGCTAGTGTCTAGTATGTCCAAGAGTTCCTTTCCCCTACACAGGAGCTGCTGAGACACTGAACAGTGTCTTATATTTCAAGAACATTGTTACAGTTTTGGTTAGCAGAAGAAAGGAATCTGCTAATTAGTAATATTTTTTTTAAAAGAGAGAGAAATTAACAAAAAAAACCAACCAACAAACAAAAGAGCTTTTTCCAGTTCTGGCCTGGAAGCTTTTGGCTAGCCCAGACAGCGCACTGCACCATCTGGATGAAGAGGGACAAGCTATTGAAAAGAGCATTAGATAATAGCTTGCTTTTTCCCCACCAGAGCTGTCCCAGGTAATATTATGTTTTGTTTGTGTAGTTATGTGTTTTGTCTGGCTTGCTGAAATAAAATTACTTCTGAGCATTGAAACTGTGCTATAAATTCTGTTTTGCTATTAGCAGAAGTAATTTTTCCACCCTTTTCTGTTGGCCCCCAGAGCTGCAAAAATAACCAACAGCAAACAGATGGCAGAGTGCCCTGCCTAAGAAGATTTATGTATTCCTAAGGAATAACCAGTTTAAAGGAAGATTCACAGAGGTTTTTTTGTTCAGATAATTCAGCCATTCGTTATTTCATACAGTGGAAATCTGTTCAATGCAAGACCATTTATCCTAGCAGTCTTTTGTATGGGGTAGTCATACTCTTTTTATTGTGTTATGCATTCTGAAATATTGGATTTTTAATAATTTAAACATTTATCAGGGTTTTTTCTGCCAGTGCATTTGTGAGGTTTTCTTTTGTTCCAGTTTTATTAATTCAGAGATTACCCAATGGAAAGTAAGTATGAGCTGAGCTAGAGGAGTGCAGTGCACCTCTTTCAGTCTGTGTGGGAGCAGCCACACATCTAGAATTGCTTTACAGGCCTCCAGGAGACACTATTGGGGTGGAGATGGACACACACAACACCAGAAAGAGAAAATTGGGTGTGAATACATTGCTGAGCAAGTGCTGTGGGAATGTTTAATTTCCCCATATCCAAATCATAATGCTTAATATCCCCATATCCAAACTCATCCTTCTGCTTGGGTCAAAAAAATGGAAGCTTAAGACAAGTGTAAATAACAGTACTTTTAATTATCATTTCTTGAACTGGGGGTGCACTTTAAGGACAGCTCTGGCCTTGCATTTGATGAGGTGGAGAACCTATAGGTGATACCTTTTTAGGAGCTTAAAAACAGGATTTTCTGTGGCAGGAAGACCAATTCAGCTATGTGGCTCCTTAGCTTCCTCTTCCTCCCTGCCCCAGAAAGTCCCACATCTATCAGATAAACCAGGGTTCAGTCAATGTGGAGGGCCAAAGCCAAGTGCAGCTGAGTGGCTTCTGCTGGAGTGAAGGCATTGGTTAACTCGCACATACACTGAGCATCAACAGCTGTGGTCTCAGGTGGAGGCCAGTGGAAACCTAAGGGGAGCAATAAGGTGAAGTTAGTTTCTTCATTGTCTGCGTTTTGAAGGGGGCAGTTTTGTTGCCTGTTGTGAGGGAGGAAGGCAGGTCTTTCATTTCAATAAAATGCACTCTCAGGTTTTACTGTAAAATAGGAGAAGATTGCTGATAACTGATGGAGTTGTTTTCATATGGTGTTGGAGCTTCAGCATAGCTATGTCTAACACTGGTTTTGTCACCCATTTTTAGTAGTGTTCGTACCTCCTCATTACCAGTTAATCCTTTTGTCTTTAGGTTTTTTTAATTAATGTCACAATTGAAAGGAAAGTCATGCTGCAGTTATGCATCCTGATACTCCAGCAGTGACTGTGGATCAAACAGCAGATCACCAGCTTCTGCTGATGCAGAGTGGTTTAGAACACAGAAATTACAAGATCAAAGAAGACAGATTCTTCTAATAGAGTATTCCGTCCATAACAATAACAAAAGCTTCAGGAAAAAGGTGTCAGAATCCCTTCACAATTATGGAACAAACTGCCATTCAGAAAATTGTAAAACTGCTGCTGTCCTTTTATTGTATGAATTCACATTACCCATATATATTTTAGACATTTTTCCCCCTGTTTTTCAAATTCCAGCTTTAAAAATGCATATAATAAACAGGAAATTTACAGCCCCCAATATAGCTCATGCTGTGAGCTTTGTTAATTCTAGTGAAAATTATCTTTAAAAAGAAGCAATAGGAAGTTTATATTTCTCAGGTTTCCCTATTGTTCTTGCATAGAAACTGGCATTCAGGATCTCCGCTATCTGTGGAGATGAACAAACCAGTAAAAAGGCATTAATTCCCTTACTGCTTAAGGATACTTTCCTTTTTTCAGTACCTCTGTCTTACTGAAACCATGCTTTTTCAGGGTATTGTTACTCCCAATTAACTTTCAACATCATAATACTTAACATATAATGTGAGATTCTAGGAAAAATTATTTGCACTAAGGGAATTAAAGGGACACTCTTTATACTAAATATCATACATATGCTATATATTTGATTTAGTGTTTATTTGGATGAACCTCTAACAGGAAAAGCAATTATATTTGTGCAGGTGAAATATTTTTTAGAAACTTTATTTGGATTTTTCTGTTGCATTTTTCTGAAAAATGGATATCTCAATTTATTTCAGGGGTTTTTTTACTGTAATACATTTCTTTGTAGGAGCTATTAATGCACATTTAGACAAACTTTCTGGAGGCTGTCAGTAGGTGGTAACAGCTGAAATGTCCCATCACCTATACTCCAAACAAGTGATGACTGTGTGACTGTAAATCAAGGCAGCACCTGGTATAGAAATGCCCACATCCCAAACTGCTTGTTTTTGTCATTTCTTGGGCAACACTTGTCAGCAGAAAGGCAATGTGGCACTGAGATAGATCCCTGGTGGCTCCCTCATCCTTTTCAGATAAGGTCCCAGAGCTGGAGGATCATTCATGGCAAGACACTGGGCAGTGCTGTTGTCCCTCTTCTGTTTTTTCAGTGGGCATCAAAGCAGTGGGGATCCTCTCGTCAGCTCCACAGTCACTAATTCACTGCTTTTGCTTTTGCTTCTCTTTTTTTCACAGAGGGAGAGTGCTAGGGTTGGAAGGGAGAGAGGAATGTATTACATTACAAGGGAGAGAGGAGGGAGTATTCTGTTTTGTAGAGCATGATTTGTTATCACACTAGCAATAAAGAGAAAAACAATGTTTGTATATTGCTGCTTCCACAGTATTTCATCATCTTCTGGTACTGGTAGAGCAGCCTTTAGCAAAAAACAATTCTTTGCTGCAGTTTTACTCATGTCAATATCTGCCTTTGAGTACATTAAATTCAGTGTGGAATAGCTAATTCAGGACCTTGACCTATACTTGCTTTTTGAAATCATTCTAGCTCTTAAATTCTTATAAGCCAGAGGCTAGTACTTGAAACCTATTCACAGTACGCCACAACACTTCTTGAGTCAAGATTTCCCTGTTATCCTCCTCTCTACAATGTTTTCTCCTTTGGTCTGCACTTTACAGGCAGAATTATTAGTACCTGTGTAGAAAGAGACTGTGTCTTATTTTAGCAGTTTCGTGACAATAACAGTATTTCACTGCTCAGAAAGGGTCAAAACAATGTTCTCGCTGTACCGCTTAGCTAAAAAAAGTGCAAGAATGTCTTCTCACAAATCGCTGGAGAGCGTGTTTGCAAGAAGTTACGAAACAGCATTTCAACAGCACATAGAAAAATAGCTGTGGAAACATCTTGGGTAAAAGCTATAGGGAAAATAGACAACCTAAATGTAAAATGCTTGCAGTTCTTCTCTTAGAGGTACAAAGAAAGAATGTAGATGAGCTAAATAATTTAGAACAAAAAGTGAAACAGAATTTGGGTAATTTTATTGTTTGTTTCATAATTGTGTCCAATTCCTCATAGTTACGTTTGTATATGCCAACAAGAAATAGTCAAAAGCCAAAATGAGCCTGTATTTTTACATTTCTAAGCATGAATAATGGAGTCAGAATGTGTGCTGTAATCTGCAGACTGGAGTTAGTAGCCCTTTGTATGAGGTGTTAACTTAAACCCCTCTGAAACAGAATTCCATACGGGAGTTCTAATAGAAACAGGGCTACCAGAAGTGGACACAATTTTTAAATTCTTTGTAAGAGAAGTATGATGTGCCAAGTAGATAAAAGTGAGATACCAGCAGAGGACGACTTAGCTATGCAGAATTCTGGTGAAGAAGCGTTATCATTAACTTTGCTTTGTTTGACCTCTCTAAAATTGCTTTACAGGGGAAGGGTCAGCTTTGCTTCCTTCAAAGCTAAAACCCAAGACTTCTTTTGTAGCACTTTCACAGCATGAAATGTGTTAACTGTTAAAATGGATTTTGTATAACAGTTCTGCATCCCAGTTTGAAACCACACTGTGGCATATATTTGACCATTTTGTTCATGTATTTTTTTAAATCTCTGAAAGAAAAATAACCATTTTTTTAAAATGCAAATTCAAAACTAGAACATGTTAGGCTGCCATCCTTCACTTGAGAATGGTCACAAGCTGCCTCAGCTCCTCAAGCAGAGTATAAGGGCAAAATGCATACAAATCGAATGCTTAGTGGATGCTGACTTCCCAGTAGCATGTTGACTGGCTGTTTTGTTGAGATTTCACACACATACATAAAAATAACAGCATTTTTAGCTGATCCCAATAGATTTTTCTGTGCAGCTGCATCACTTGTAAAAGGCTTTTTGTTCCAATTCTTGAAGTCTGAAGTATTGCAAGTATTTTTTTTTTTAAATCTCAATTATGATTTATGTGTTGTGATGACTTTAAGGGCTTGATTGGGCTTCAAATGTGCTCTGAAAAAACAAGAAAATGTGCCCATGAAAAACACGGGCAGTTCAAAGCTGAGTATTGAGCCTACAGTTGTAAACTCACATGGCACATGGCTGGGTAGGTTTTTTTGGCAGAGCCAGAGTCTCAACCTGCAGTGATGCTAAAGATATTAGCAAATTAGCACTGCAAAGCTTGCCAGCGTATTCGCTAGAGTCCTGCTCATGCTCTCACTGCTGTAATTAAAACTAATTATTTTCTAAAACATAGTAATACATGAATATGTGCAATAATCATTTTGTAGTGGGCAATCTGTGAAGTATTTTTAAAGCTTCTTTTCCCCCTCCTGTCTTTGGCTCGCTGTGCAGTGTGCCTGCTGCCTGGTGCAAGCCAGCACTGTCATTTTGTGAGAGTCACACTGCTCTGGTAAAGACAGGGATGCTTTACTGATTCTTGCATGTTTACATGTGGGATATGTATTTTTTCTTTTTTATTGTCTTTTAGGCTATTCTGAATTTTTACCTCATATCCTTTGAAAGAAGGGCATGAGGGGGATTAAAAAGAGAGAAAGGGAACGTTATCCAGTCTTTCACAAATGCTGTGCACATGGTTTTCAGCAGGCAAAGAATGACCTGGTGTCTTGCTGCTGTTTTCTGGTTATTTGCATTGATTCAGTGTCGTGGCACCTCCTAGCATCTGCTCTGCCCAGTATTTTCTGTCTATTTGTCTGAATATTTCTTCTTGCATCTTTCTAGAAATCCAGGAACCAGGAACCCAGCAGCTCTGCAGCAGTAATACTATGCTTGGCACTTGCATCTTCAAATAAAAAAAAAACCTTAAACTCCTTGCACCCCTGGGAAGCAACTGCATGCCATTATCAGAGAAAGACGTTTATGTGTTTGTTATAGTCCCACCTCGTTTTGGCAGGAGGAAGAAGCTGAGTGCTGGTTCTCCAACAGAGCACGGTTTACAGCTTGTAATTCTGTAGTTAAGGCTCACAGTGGCTGAGCCATTCATATTGAAGTCGGTAGGGGCAGGAATTATCTGCTGGACACCAGCGTTAATACAGATGTAATTGGAAAATTCAGGTTTTTTCTTGGATTCAACATGGCAAGGAGAATGTGCATTGTTTTCGTTTATGTTTGTCTATTGCTAAAGGGAGAGTGCAGTAATTAAAACAGACTTATTTTGTTAAAATGTTGTGGTCAAATGCAGAGACAGTTGAAAAGCACCAGCAGCATGAAGAATGAATTCTACTCTGTTAAGTGATGGTTGTTGTTGCATGGTGCTTGTATTCTCTACTTGTTCATTGTCCTTTTTTTCCTCACTTGAACTGAAGAGGTTTCCAGGTTTCTGGCTGCTAGAGTAACAGGACAGACGTGGGAAAACCTCTCCTTCCCGTGGCACCACAACCATGCAGCAGGAGGCATGTTTTTTCCTACACAGCCAAACATAGTCATGCTTAACTGTTTCTCCTGTTTTCGATTAGCACCTATGGGTCTTGCAGATATGATGACACCTGGTGAGTCCAAACTTCCCCTTCCTCTCAAAGCAGATGGCAAAGAAGAAGGAGCCCCCCAGCCCGAGAGCAAGTCAAAGGTATTTACCGCCTTCCGCACGTGGTGTTGGTTCTGCCCGCAGAAGTCTGCTGTGTTGTCCTTCATCTCCTGGTTTTGGCCTACCCACTTCTGTTCTTTCCTGCATGCCTTTCTATTCACGTGCAATCTATTTGTTTCTTTTTGGTTTTTTTCTTTTTTTTTTTCTTTTATTTTCTTCATTGTGTGGATCTGAAAGTTACTAGTTCTTACGGCATTTTAACTTGCGGGGGCAAAGCATCGCAAGCCAAACGTTGCGTGGGCATTTGGCTGTGCCAGGCGGGTGGGAGAGAAGGGTCTTGCCGGGTTTCCGTCCTCGCAGCCATTTTTCTCTGCCTTCAGTTATAGCTTCCTGTTTTGGCTGCAGCAGCAACATGCTTTAATATTTTGCTTTCCTGCCTTATTTGATTAAATAAGGCAAACGGCTTGTTTTTGTTTCTTTCTTTCATAACGGGAAACCCATGCTTAGCATTTCATGTGAGCTTGAAGTAAGCATGGTGGCTTAGTGACTTTAGCCAAGCATCCAGCAAACTTTCCAAATTACACTAATTAACAATGTTGTTTTAATATCTTTTATATATATATATATATATATAAATATATTTATATATGTGTGTGTTTTCTGTATGTGTCTCTCTGTTTATATATATTTTATATATAACAATTGGTCAGTCTGTTAAACTGGATGTATATTTTTTTGTTTTTAATAAAGTTTGCCCTGCCTTTGTCATATTTTTTTTTTTTTTGTATTCCTCTACCACAGGATAGCTACAGCTCTCAGGGTATTTCTCAGCCCCCAACCCCAGGCAACCTGCCAGTCCCTTCCCCAATGTCCCCAAGCTCTGCTAGCATCTCCTCATTTCATGGAGATGAAAGTGATAGCATTAGCAGCCCAGGCTGGCCAAAGACTCCATCAAGCCCTGTAAGTGGCTCTGGTTATTTTGGTTTTTGTTTATTTTTTGTAATTAATTATATTTTAATGCTTGCTTGTTTGTTTTGTAAATTCCTTTTCTTTATTATTTATCTACTAAACAGTTTTCTTTCTTTATAACACTGGGTACAAATTCTGCTCTCGGACACATGACTGTAAGTTCCACTGCCTGGCTTCAGTGGGGCCTGAGCATGCTTATCCAAGGGCAAAATTTGTCCCAACAGTACTTTGAAATAAGAAAGAGTAAAATTGTGTGCATCATGCAAGTGTGCTGTCTGGTAAAACAGCAGTTGTTGTGGAGAAAACATCCTTCCTGTAATGCATCAGCTTCCAAGCATGCCAACTGTGTTGTTAAGAACAATTCCATTTCTGTTCCTGGGCCCAAACTCCTTCACACAACTGACTTCACTCTGGTTGCTGTACTTGTCTTTACTAGGATTATTTAGGGAGAAAAAGAACAAAGGAAAAAAAAAGAAAAACAAAACAAAATGAGAAATCTTCTCCCCTATTGAAACTAATACCATCAAAAGTTAAATTATAGACTCAGCACCACAAAAAAGTTGCCATTTATATTTATGAAATATTTTTAATTTTGAATTGTGTATTTGAAAATACAGCCATTAGGCTGTCAAGGCACAGTCTAAACCAAAATTGTTTCTAATTTGCCTCATTTGGTTATTTTGAAATAACCCACACTGTGAGCTGAAAAAAGATCCTGATGCATGTAGATTTTTAGAGAACTGTTTTTTTAGATGAGTAATGTTTAATCAGTCTCATACAGGTTGTAAAGAAGAACCTGAGAGAGATGTGTGGTGCTAAAACCAAATGTCATCATCTATCTATCTATCTATCTATATATATGCATACATGTAGAAAATCTATATACATATATAGAAAAGGGAAATGCAGACGTAAGATGATATGGTTTATGGGGAGCAAATAACCATCTGGTCATTTTTGCTTTGTTTTGTTTTTTAATAATTAGGAATATATATGTTGTTCCTCTCTTTCAAAAGTAGAAATTATGATCATTTCTCTGTAGAAAAATAATGTAACATATTCTTGTGCAGGATATAAAGGGGGTTTTCCCCAGTGTTAAAGTGCACTTAAATTAGCTGTAATTCTTTGATAACAGTTTTTACAAAGTGATATGTTAAAGAGTATGTCTTAGGGCAAACAGAGGAAGGCCAGTCAGAGAGGAGGAGATCTAACCATCCAAAACCCAGACATTTACAGAATCCCCTGAGCAAGGGGGCAGCATGGCATGAAATGCACCATTTATATCTTTGGATGTTGATTTGACAGCAACTTTGAGTCTCAGAAGGCAGCTGATGTTACTTGTTCCCACAAGGTCTCATCTTTTTCTTAAAAACATTTGTGCAAGGGTGACACCAAAAATTCTGTTAGTTTTCTTTGTAGTGATGTTTGGGGTACTGCTTGTTTGGGCAGTTTTCTGGAGGAAAGCAAGAGAGTAATTGCATGGGCTGTCTAACACATCAAATGCTTCCTCTACAACCAAACAAGAATGTATTCCTGAGCTCATTGCATAAACTGCATAGGAAATCCTGGAGTCATCATGAACAGATGTGGAGATTTTTTTTGTGTAAATAAAGTATAGATTATTGACAGAGTATAACACTGGAAAAAATAAATGAAGAAAGTTTGTGCTTTCAGTTTCTTCTGAATGTCCTTCTCTCCAAAAGGTTCAGTTAGACATGGATAAATACAGAGCTTTGGAATGATAGAAAAATAAGTGCTGCAAATGAGCTGATCCCTTTTTACCTATGAAGGCCAGTGGATTGGATAACTTCATCGACTTCAAGAGCAGCCTGACATAGACTGGAACAATTGATTGCAGGCATTTCGTTACACTTGAAAACAGCCTGAATTGCTTCATTAAATCCCAAAGCTGTTTCATGTGCTACAACTTGTCCATTCCAGTAGAGAATAAAAGCAGGGGTGAATGGTCTCTGATTCACTTCAAGGTATCCCTGTGATCCTACTAAGTGGATCCTCTCTTTCAGCTGTTTTATGTGGAAGTGAGGCACGAGAAAATGGGGAGAAAGAACTGATGAATGTTAGGTTTTGAGGCTTCCTTGGGTATGTCAGGAAAAGGACACTTCTGCTCTACCAGTTTTGCTTATAATGTGCATCCCTGACAGTGTTGAGATAGTTCTAAAATTCTTTAAAAGAGGCATTTCAAGTGAGGGTCTAAACCATGCAGGGTCACTGCAACATGAGTAAAACAGTAGGTTACAAAAACCCCATAAAATGCTGTTAACTGTCCATAGGTACCCAGGAACATGACAGTGAATGCACCTGAACAGTACTACACCTCCCTGGTGCTAGCTGGGAGGGATCTCCAGAGTCCTTCAGGAGAAAATATTAACAAAGGAATGTATCCTCTACAAGCCTCTGCCAGGGATTGGACTTTAGCAGTTTTAGCTGCCTGTGTATGCATACTCTGTTCTGTAGCAAAAGAGATCTGTGTAACACGTGTAATATTGGCAAATTCTTCACTGAAGTCAGGGAAGTGAACAGTAGGTAATTGTATAAATACAGATCCTTCAAGACATGTAGAGAAGCAGCTACCCACTGCCTTTCATGTGAAAATAACTCCTACATAAATTTGTGTTGCTCTGAAGGATTCTGCAGACTCACCATACGAGGATCTGCATATAATACAGTTTTAATAGTGGGTAGGTGTATTGAAAAGAAAGTATGGGTTTCGACAGATTCAGTAGGGGAATTGGCTTTGGTATCCACATGCATTGGTGGAGTTTTTTAATCACCCATTCAAACACTGCCAGTGGATCGTGTAGAAGAGTGCTGGTGATTGCAGGCAGAGTAGGCTATAACTAAATCAGTAAATTAATGTGCCATAGGCCTGCACTAGCATTCTTCTGTCACCAGAATTATCAACATACTTAACAGAAGGAAAGGTCATGATATGTGTTCTTCCAGCATTGCTTGGGATGTGCTCATTTTAGTTTAAAATGGGATCTTTCTTTTATAAACCCTTGCTTTGTAAGGGTTAATATTTATAGGTAAATTTAGGCTTCCAGCTGAACCTGCCCATTTGAAACTCAAGTTTGTTTGTGTATAGACTAGCTTGCACACACCTGTCATTTTTATCCATTTACTTTTATAAAAATAGAGAAGAGAAAAAGATCTTTACTCTTGAGGAATAGCATTCTTCCCTCCAGTGCATTCTTCTAAAGTTAACATTTCATTTTAGAAGAAAATTGCACCCATTTTACAAAGCATGACAACCTGAAAGCTCACACAGTAAGAAACACTTCTTACCTTCTGTAAGCTGTGAAAAGTTTTCAGATTATACTGTCATTTTAGAGCTTGCTGCCACACTGCTGAAAAGCAGCATCATTTGAGATGTATAGTAGAAAAATGCAGAAAGAAAAATCTTAACTGTTTCCCTTCTGCTCTGATTCTGATTTGAAACAGTGAATCTTAACAAATAAAAATTAAACCCTAAAACTGGTAAATCTGAACTTTCTTAATCATGGTTCACCATAAAAGTGAAATAGAAACTGTTTTGTTGCCTCATATGTTAGAATATGAGCACATTGAAAATTTTCTGCGTAAAAGCTGGAATTTCCCACCTTCATTTTTGTAGAGTTCTGGGGGCATCTTAAGTGTCAGATTAAAATTGATGCTGGTGAGCAGTAGAGTTAACTTTGTGCTTACTGCAAAAGGTAGTGGAGTAGTTCCAGTTCATTCAGCTGTTCAAGCCTGTGTGATCATGTATCTGGTGCTCACCACAACATCAAATTAGTAGCAACATGACTTCCCTACTTCCCCCTTTTCACCTACCCAAAAAAAACCCTCCCAAACTTTGACAAAATGTATTTGTTGCTAAGAGTTAAACTGATTTTCTTGAGTACCCAGATATATAGCAAGTGATGCTTTCAGTAAATTGGTAGCTATTACAGAATCAGTTTGTGCTTTCTTTGCATAATCTGCAGGATTCATGTCAGTGTATTTCCTGCCAGCCACTTAGTATTAATAAAACAAATTTAGCCCTGACTCTCACTTCAGTAGGAGTTGTAACACAACTGAGTCTGGCTGAAGTAAATTCAGGCATGCACCTCATTGCTAAGAAATGTAATCATATATGTCTGTAGGAAGGATTGCTGTGAAGAAGTTACAGTGTCAGCAAGGCAGCAGACTTTAAAGGAAGCTATTTATTTCATTAAAATTAATATCCATTCACTGGAAAGAACAGCAATGGCTCATGGAACTGCTGGGTCACCCCCTTGGCTTCATGTTTCTTTTCTCCTGACTCTTTTCCAGTTTTGCCAAGTTGCAGCTGGTAGCTGGAAGGAGATACAGAGTCTGTCATATTTTCCAGGCTAACATGCAAGATGAATGGTGGCAATGCTCTTGAAATCATTGGCAGTGGGGTTCTACTCTGCTGTATCCCTTTTTCATGGTGTTGAGTGCCAGGCCTCACCACTGTGTGGGGATATGGACAAGTGAGTGGGTCTGTAGCATCTGTGAGGTGCAGTGAGGATCCTTTTTAGAGATGTTCAACTAGGAATGAGTTTCTGTTTACTTGACAATAGTCTGTCTTCAGTTCAAAGTGAGGAAAAGGCAAAAGAGGGAAAAAGTGATTGACTAGATGAGTTTTAAGAAGTGTCTACTGCAATCAACAACAAAGTTTAGGCTTTTACTATACAGACATAAAGGATATGTTTCCCTTCACATATTTGGCTCCTTTCCCAAAGCTTTATGTCAGTCTTTTTCCCTTATGTTTAATTCTGAACCACTCCCATCTTCCACCGCTGAGCAAATCAGTTCACTTTGTGCAAGTGGGAGGGTTGTCCTGCTCTAGCAGCAGCCCCTCTGCTGTCAGAGCTGTGCTTGGGCAGGGGCTGTGACAGGGTCTGTCCACACATGGCACAGAGCCCAGCTCACAGGGTTACATTGCACAGAAAAGATATGGTGAGAATTTATAGCTTGTGTGGCAGCCTCAGTGCTTTCTGCTGTCTATACATTAGGGAGAAAAAAAAAATCGGGAAAAAAGAGAAAAAGCAGGTTCATTCCTGCCTTTTTGCAACAGAGATGGAATTCTGCTCTTGCCACCTCTTCTGCTTTTGCTGGTGGTGTCTCAGCTCTGATTGCTGTCCGTCCTTGGTTTTCCCCAGGTGATAACACACATTCCCTTTGCAAGGTAGGACAACAGAGATGGATATCATCTGTACTCCAGCAAGGGAGAAGAGTAGTTGCTACTTACGAGCCTTATTGGATCAGGCAGCTAATTGGCAGTTCACAAAGAGTATTGCCACCAATCTCCTTGCACTGTAGGCACTCTTGCTTATCTTGCCTTTTGGCCACCAGTGGTGTGAAGTGGTAATAAAGCATAACCATTTATGATTTTGAAGAGAGGACTACTTCTCCATGTACTAGTTTGCCATGATTCACACTTTAGGCTATTTTTGTGCAATTCCTGCTCTGGAGGATCACTTTCAGGTTTTCTAGCCCATCTTTGAGGGCAAAGAGGAGAGGATAGGTTTGGATTTAGGAGTTTCTAAACTTGTGTGGAACAAACTTGTTTCTAATTTTACTGAAATAGTTGCTTGCAAAGCACTTTGAGATAAGTGGACAAGAAGCACTCTGTGAGAGCTACCTCTTCTTAAAATTACTTGAGGCAACATCAGAAACTTGCCTTCTGGGATCCAAAGTTCAGAACAGTGAAAGAAATATGAGAATGGGGAGTTTGGGCCCTTTATTTATAAAGCTGACTTTTCTGTATATGGACAGAATGTACTGTTTGTGCCTGAACTAGTAGCCTTCATTCCTGACTGTTGTGTGATAGCTTTAGTTTGTTGGACATCTTCTCCTTTTCAATGTTGTGAGTTTCTTACTTTCTTTTCCCTTCCCCTCCCACCCTTCCCCCAACTCTTTCTTTTCTTCTTGCAATTTAGAAATCAAGTTCCTCTACCACAACTGGAGAGAAGATCACTAAAGTCTATGAGCTGGGAAATGAGCCGGAGCGCAAGCTGTGGGTGGACCGGTACCTGACGTTCATGGAGGAGAGGGGCACGCCTGTGGCCAGCCTGCCAGCTGTGGGCAAGAAGCCCTTGGACCTCTTCAGGCTCTATGTCTGCGTCAAGGAGATTGGAGGCTTAGCACAGGTGAGAAGAACTGGTTAAAAGTGAACCTTCAAAAAGTCAATATTCTTTTTTTCTAGACTATTCCTGCTGGATACATCATTAGGTTTTCAGCCCAGAAAATATTGTTGAAGAAAATGGTTTCATGCTTTGATAGCTGTCTGGAGTTCATTTTGGGCTGCATAATGGCCGTAAAACTTTAAAGTTTGAATCAAGATTGACCCTCGCTGTAGAGAGATGAAACTGTTGCCTTTTCAGGGGAATCTAGTAATGCTGCTGAGAGAAGAAAATAGGAAAAGGCCACAGGATCAAAATTACATGTAAGAGGCAGATGATAGAGCTAAAAGGAAAAGGAAATTTTAAAGTCCAGTTTTCCTGCATAGAGATACAGCCTGTAGGACAGTTCAGTTAACCTCCCCAGAGAAACTACAGACATATTCTTAAAACACACTCCTTCATCCCAAACCTTTAATTCTGAGTGTCTCTATACAGTATATGTGTTTCTTAGACACGGACTGTGCTCTGTTTGGAAAATGCTTACAGGATGCTTTGGGTTGCCTTGCTAACATAATGATTACAAGGAAAATGTGAATTACCTAAATGAGTTGAAGAAAAATGAAAGCAGGAAGAGCTGAGACTAAAAAAGTCACAGATGGGAGACAGAAGTTTTCATTTGAGTTCTCGCTAGTTAAATTGAAGTTTTGCAAAGGGATGTTGGAAAAATATTCATGAGTTCTATAGGGTTGCTCACCACAGAGCAAAATGAGATGTTTCACTGTTTAGCATCTAAAGGGAAAGAAGGAGAAAACAGTCAGTACTTGCAGTCTTGGATTTGACATTCAAAGTCACCTGTCCTGGCCTGATGCTTGTACAAGCATCTCTTGCATCTAGGGGATCACTGGCTAGACACTAGACACTCCTGTGAAGTGCAGGGATCCATTAGGTCTGTGTTTATGAGAACATTTGTTCAATGCCTTGCAAAAGAGGTCTTAAACATAGCTAACATGTAGATAAATATGCATGTGTAATATTATAAAAAATGTAATATTAAAACATGCAATTCTCCACTAATTACAAAATCTGAACTCAAAAATATGGCAAGCAAATTAGAGTCTCCAAAAAAGAACATATTTTCATAATGTATGTGGTTAGTTCAAGAAGGGAATGTCCATCATCAGTTAGTACCCATTTCAAAGCTATTTTTAATAGTGCACCTCACAACACAGGATTTGACTACTGGTTTAGATCATTGGCCCTTCAAATCCAGGGATTTTCGCTATTCTTATTATTAAAGGAAGGCAGAGAAACCTAAGATAGTTCGTTCGGTCTGTTGTTAAATGCTGTATATTGGTAAGAGATGTTATGCTGACATTTTTAGTGATCAGCTCATGCCCCTCAGCATCATAGGGATTTGATTATTTTTAGCTCAGAAACTTTATTACAGGTAAATCGTATCATGCAGCTGCTCTGCCTCGTACAGCATGATTGTGCCCACAGTGTGACTCTTAGCATCAAAAATTGAGCAAGATGGGGGGCAGATGGGATATTCTAGAGAGTTATTCATGTTTGCTTATTATGGAAATTTATTTTATTTTGGGACATTCAGTGTTGATTTTCAGTGACAGACATTATGCTTTGCCAAAGAATAGATGCCGTTCACTTAGACTGGTTTTTGAAGGAGCTTGAGTTACAAATGCTTGTACTGGTTAAAATTTACACCTAAAATGAAGGCTCCTGATTTTGCTGGTGCGCTCACATGAATGGTCACTATGTTTATCTGTTTAGAGCTACTCAGAGGTGCCGAGCTTTGCTTGCTGAGTTTTATTTAAATGCGTCTGTGTGATGCCCTCCTAAAAAGCTGTTGCTCCAGCTGCTGCACTCCACATCTCGTGACTCTGCCCAGAGAGTGGCAGGGAGAGGAGCTGTGCAGCAGTGGTGCATATTCCCTGTCTGAGGAGCTGCCCTTGCTGGGGTCCCAACAGGAACAGACCAGCTGCTGGCAGTCTTCCTTTAAATGCCAATATACTGGGCATTTAGGCACGAACGTTTCTGTTTGCATTATGCAATGTGTTCATTACGCACCACTTAGCTGTAAGCCAGTAGGCACAAAGAGCTGTATAACTGGATTTCAGGCCTCAACAAGGGCAGTTAATGAAAATCTGGTCTCCTTTAACTCCTGGGTTCTTGTAGGATGTACCAGAGAAATAAAAACACTTAGCATAGCCATGCCAACCTGCTTGCTGTTAATGCCATCCTCAAAAGATCTTTGCTGACTGGCAGCAGTTACAGTGTTATTAAACACTGAGAGAAACTTAAAAAAAATGTTTTCTTTGCTGGCACACAGACTAAGGAATAGTATGGCTAATGATAATCTTTCTATCTATACAAGTTAAGCTGGAGTCATTAAAATATCAGGCCTTAGGGCAAGTAGCAGACAATCATGGAATCAAAATTGCTACCCACAAAAGATGAGATTTCTCAGATGTTTAAAGCCAATTTATTTTGGTGCTGACCCTGCTCCTTGGATCATACCTAGAAATTGTATAACTGGTTGAATGAACTCAAAGGCATCAGGTGTTGAAGCAAAAGCAGTGGCTGCTACGAGTGGTACAGTCGAGTGAGTCAGTGGCATCACCCAGGATGACAAATGAACTTGGCTATTATTACAGATCAGCTGTGTTTGAGGAACTCATGAGCAGAGTCTTTCAATATTCTTAGCCTTACACTGCAAACAAGACTCACAGTGGAGTGGTGCAGTCAGCACTGTAATACAGAGTATTGCTGGACTAGCCGTGAGTGTTTGAAGTCTGCCTTAATTAATTAAGGGCCTGGCTTCACTCTGCCTCTCATCTAGCCAGAGGATCATTGATCTGTCCCTGCAAGATGCACTAAAGTGAAAGGAATTGAACCAGGAATTACAAGCTAAACTGTTTGACAGCTGGTGGCTATTTGGGAGAAAAATTTATTTTTCATATCAGTGTTCAAACAAATTGCAGAATAACACTGTTAGTGCTTTCTAAATTATATTTTAGAAGCTGCTTTTTAATTAGAGAGGGGTGGGTGTGGGTGGGTGTCGGGGAGGGAGAGAGTGAGCAGGAATTTGCTTGGAGATGGATTGCTAACTGAAGAGCATAGGCCCTGGAAGGGCGTAAGACATTTAAAGGATGCACCATGCAGAAGACTCCACAAGCAAAGCTTTTTATGTAGCTATCAGCAGGTTCCTTAATGGCTTTATAACTGTAAATGCTGTCTGTGCATTACTGCATGTGGGAGTAATGAGCATTAGTTAAAAGAGGAAAATAAAAAAAAGTAAACCAAGACATTAAGTGCTTTTTTTTTTCCTTTTTTGTTTCCTGACTTAAACAAAACACTTTGCTGCAAACCAACGATTCTGCCGTTTACTTTGCTAGGTTAATAAAAACAAGAAGTGGCGTGAGCTGGCAACCACCTTGAACGTTGGCACTTCTAGCAGCGCAGCCAGCTCCCTGAAAAAACAATACATTCAGTACCTGTTTGCCTTCGAGTGCAAGATTGAGCGAGGGGAGGAGCCCCCTCCAGAAGTCTTCAGCACTGGTGATACCAAGAAACAACCTAAGATTCAGCCGCCATCTCCTGGTAAGTCAAATAAACTGCAGCCTCCTTCTTACACAACCATTTTTAATGTAAGGCATGCTAGGTTGTTGCACCCTATGTATTTATAAGCATGTCTTGATAATGCTGGAAAAACAGGGATAAACCTGTTTTTGGAGTCTTTGTTCTCAGACTTGGAGCCAGCACCTGAGTCAAATCAGAGTTAACTCTGAAGCACCAGCACAGTTGTGTGTCTGGTTTGTCCTTCTTCAGTCTGACACATAAAGATGTGTGTGCCAGCGTACCCTTCACATTCAGTGCATGGGCCTAATAAAAAGAACAGAGGTCTGCACAGATGTGCTTCTGCTGTATGACAGGAGCATGCTTTTGCCTAAGGTCAGGCTCTGGTACCTGCACTTTCCTTGCTGTGCCTGAAGCTGCTTTTCAGCACAAGTGTTGATCAGCAAGGCTTCAGTTGGAGCAGGATGGCGGATGCTGGACTGATGGGCGTGTCTCACATGGTTGCTCTGGTGCAGCTCGTGTTCAGTGTGTGGCAGATGGAGAGCTGAGAGTACGGTGTGTCCTCACTGCCACACATCCTAGTTTGGAGGCACGCTCTGTTCTTTTGTTGCTCTGTGTCAGGTAGGTTGCTAGGATCACTGTTTTTATCTTCTCATCTGAAAAATTGGAACTGGGATTACTTTATTTTGGCTGCTCTTTCTTGCATTTACAGTGTGGTGTAAAAGAAAACCACTGTTTTCTTTCTAAATTCATGCCACTTCAGATATTCAAGATTTAATAGTCACAGTTGATACTCAAGGCAGAACTATTCTTGAGTGAAAACATTTTAAGTACATAGGAAGAGTCATAGTATTAGTCTAGCTGTTGACTTCTGGACTACCCATGGAAGAGTAAAAAAACCCCTTAGTTATTTTGGATTATTCCTTTTGTTGCTAGTTTTTCTGACCAACAAAATCATTTAACAGAATTTGCACAGTTACTTATTAGGCAGACCACCATCATTTATTGCCAAGAGAATATAATTTCTGAAATGTTTACAGGAGTTTCTTGTGGTAGAACACAGTTTTAGGAAAATATTAATTCACTTAATTTCTGTTAGTACAGTTCACTGACTGAAAATGGGAAATAGAGAGTCAGACCCAGAAAGCCCTGCAGACAGTTTGCAATTGCATGACTTCACTGCCCTATCATGGACACTAGAAAATTGCAAAGACCTTTATAATCATATAATAAAGTTCTGGCCTTTCCAAGATTATCTCTTACAATAGTGCTTTCTCAGTACAGAAAAAGATAACAGTGATAAGGCTTTAATCTTTCTCAGCCTGTTTTATTCAGTGTAAGGATTTGAGGGAGTGTTCAGTTAAAATCTTCCTAAGCACATCTCTGTGTAATAGCTTAAAATATTTCCTCCACCTTGTTAAAATGTAGGGTTATAAGGTACCCCAGTGATGATTGTTTAATAGAGAGGAGATTAGGTAACTTTGCAATTCAAGTTTAGAAGATAGAGAAAAACACTTGGTACTAGAAGTAAAGCCCATAGTCCAAATATTTATCTGTCTGAAATAAGCACAGAGTGTCCTGAGTGTGCACAGCTGCAAAAAATAATATAAGTTGGAGGTGCCCATCACCTCCTGAGAAGACTGGTAAGTGAAGTTGAAATGGTTAGACTTGCTGAAGACAGTGAAGAAGAATTTAATCTGTGTCTAAAAATGAAAGAGCATTACACTTCGTTCTCTCCTCCCTTACCTTCTCTCTCCAATACTGCTCTCAGTAGTTGATTTGGGAATGATCACCATAAATCAGCTGAATTTTGAGATGAAGAATTGCTATTTAAATATGTAAACATGAAACAAAGGGATGGAAATGTCAGACGTACCACTTTACAGGGTCCTTTTGCATCACGATGCTATGAATGAAAAAGGCAAAGTCCAAGTTTAAATTTATCATAACATTCAAGCAAGCTGTCTTTGAGGAGAACTGAAACTATTTTTCTAAAATAAAAACACAGCAGGACATAGAGACTAGAAAAGGGGGAAGCAAGCAAGGATCTCAAGGTTTGTTTTGTTGGAGAGAAAAGAGCTCGTGTCACTGAATGGGACTGCACTTCTGTACGGAGAAAGGCTTTCCCAGTGTGTATCAGCTTTAGTACATGAAATCCCGCTGAGGTATAGATGCCTCAGAGAGTACAAGCCTGTTCTCTTTAATAGTCAGCTTTTTTTCTTGTTCCTTTTCCTTCAGTATATACCACCATTAACATTTTAGAGACACAAAAGAAGCGGAGTTGTAGACATACTTTAGATAATCTGTCACTCTTTGGCATTCAGAGGGAACAGGAGCCCAATACAACAAGAAACAGTAGCCTCCCAAGGTCCTTACTTTAACCATTAGCCACTCTTGTGCAGTTAGCTCACTGTAGGCAGAGCCACTTAGAAGCCAAATCTGTTTGCAGAGAACTAGTTACAGTATTAGGGCTGCAGTTAATCTGATAGGAAAGCAGAGGAACTTGTCTCAGAGGGGAAGGTGCTGTATTTTGTCCAGTTCTAACCAGCTGATGCTATGAAACAAGTCTTGAGATCTTAAAAGTCAGCTGATCTTCATAAAACTTTTAAAATTAGGTATTTCAATTGCTCATAAGAATACATCAGGACCGGCAGCCTTTATGGATTCAGTTTGAATGTCATTGCAGTTTCCAGGTGGGTGGTTATGCGAGGTGGGAGCAGGCTGAAGTGCAGCTTAGTGCAAATCCATTCTTGCAGATATCTCACACCCAAGGGGTGGGTATGTGACTGCCTCACAGATGACCTTTAGAAGGCAGGCATAGAGGGAGTGCTGGGAAGCGCAGTGAGACAGCCATGGCGAGGGGATTCGTATGGAGGAGCACGGTCAAGAAAAGGATGTGATATGTAAGTCAAATTTATGGGACTGCCAGACGGTGATATAGGATCAGTGTTTGTCCATCTGCTTGTATATTCAGGATTCTCCCAACACTTCTGTTTTTTACAACATCATTAGTAAAGTAAACGGTACGTAAAGGAGTGAATAATTTAGTGTTATGTACAGTGAAATTCACAGTAGTGTCAGCAATTATAAGAAGTTGAAAAAAGGAGTGAAAGTAGAGCAGCAAAGTGACAGAGCGACAGATCAAGTTGGCCTTGATCAGCAGAGATTTGCACAGTAGCCAAGGTGTTAGGGTTAGGATTAGGTACTCATTTCAATTGTTCTTACTTCATATCACTGTCAGAGCCTCTTCTGCTGGTTCATAAAGCTCCTGGGGAGGGATGGGGGCCTGAATGTTTTAATGTGCCTTGCACTGCTCTGAGGCTGTGCAAGTTGGTGACGTATTTGTGGAAGGTTGAGGCCTTCACGTCAGCTTAAATCTGCCTGGGTCAGGTAATGCCATCAGCAGTGAAGGCCAGCAGCAAATGTCTAATGACAGACTAAGTATTGGAGGATCCCTGATGGCCTTCTGTCCTGATCACTGGGTCTGTGCCAAGGGCCATGGCACCTGCTGATGACTTTTGCTGCTAAAAACTCCCTTAGAGAGAGAGGTATTGTAGGTCTTCCTTCTTTCCAGGAGCAGGTGCAAAGACAAAATGCTTTTCTGTCATGTGTGTTTGATAGTTTTGACCAAAATGCTCACAAATAATGTGGCAAGTTCTAAACTAAGAAGAATTACAGGCAGCATTACTGTAATTACAGGCAGCATTACTGTAAGCACTGAAGGATGCTGGAGAAAAAATTCCAAAGGAGCGTCAGCATGAAGGAGTTACCTTCCATTGCTGTACTCTGGCACTCTGAATTCTTAGTTGCAGTGTGCAGTTATGTGTGCACAGCTCTCAAAAGAACAGGCTCAGAGTTTGTACTGTGTTTCATGAACAGGATGGCCAGAGTGGTCCAGCAGAGGATGCTTGTGAGTAACAGCAGCTGGCCCTGATGTCAACAGAGATTTCATTAAAGCAAACCTGGGAAAATCGTAGGCTTGTGCTGGAAGGAGGGAGTGAGAAGGCAGCAGGAGTGTGTTGCCTGTGTTTCCTTGGCAGCAGAGAAGACTTGGGGAGGGGGTGCTGGGGGGACAGGCACGGCACGGCAGGACACGGCCGTTCAGCGAGTGCCTCTGTAACCAGAGCCATCGGTCTCTGCTGCTGGCGGTGCCTGACTGAGTGCCATTATTAGCAGGCAGGTGATGTCATGGAGCGTGTGTGAGGCCAGCCAGGGAATCCCCATGAAGATGGATGGGCCAGGCCTTGGGAGGGGTGGCTGGGGGACAGGAGGAGGTGGCCCTGTGCCTGCATCCAGGCCTGCACGGGGGGCCCTGCAGCCGCCAGCGGCCCCCAGTCCAGCCTAGCTGGGGCACTGGCTTCGTGCTGTGTAAATTATCTTCCCAGTGTGGTGGCTGGCTGTTCACTCTGAAGTATGTGAATGTACTTAACCTTCAGTAACCTTTCCATTGTTTACTTTAGAGTATACATTTGTAGCTTCTGGCAAAAGGTAGGGATATCCTAGAGAGCATGTCAGACCTCACATTAATGGAGTTTCAAGAGGTTTCATTCTTCGTTCCTTTTCTTTTTTTTTTTTTTTCTTTCCAAAGGGAAAAAAATTGCTGGTAAGAGAATGGTTTAGTATATCTTTTTAGCTGCATATTTCTTCTCTGGTAAATAAAGGTCTTTCCAGAAAACAGTGCTTACTGCCATGCAGGCTTTGCAAGACAAAAGGCATTCCAGTACCATAATTACATGCTGCAGAAAACAATGCATTCTATCATGTGTTATTAACACATGCTTCCACAGCAAACTGTGGAAGACCTCACCTTCTCGCTGACCAGGATGTCAGTTGTATTTAAGTTTTGATGTATTTTGTATTGTGAAAAGCATATTCTTACAAATCTGTTACGATACCGGAAAGACAATTATTGCTTAGATGTGGATGTGGGATGAGGAATTCAGTATCTGTGAACCCACAGGTTTTTTCCTGGACATCCCAAGACAGCTGAAGAATCATGTAATCAGAGATTACTTTTCCTAAAAGAACATCGTTGTTTGTCTTCCTTCTTAGAGCTTGGTTTAATACCGAAGCTTATGAAGCACTCTAAAAGATACTGTTTCTCTTTCACAATGTCCACAATCAAAATTAAGCATCAACATAATAAAATCCCTGCAAAAATAGATGTTAAAATTTCAGAGTGCAGCCAGCAAATGTAACATTTACAGTGAAATAGGAAATACAGGCTCTTGGTAGATGGAGTCCCATTCCAGAGATTGAAAGACTTGCAGTTCCTATTCTCTAGAAGTGTCCCTAACCCAGTGGAGGTCATAGGCAAAGTGTGTTAACAAAGCAGTACCAGAAACTTTGACAGCATTTGCCTTCCATTTTTTTAGTTGTACATAACCAGTCATTTAGAAAGATAGAGGAAAAATAAACAACCTCATAACTGCCAACCTGAAGATAGAAATTGGACTTGTAGCTTCTCAATTGGGTGTCTTTTTTTTCTCTTTTAAATCATTCTTTATAGAATATGATATAAAACACATTGTTATTAACAAATTTGCACTCCTGCAGCTTGTAAATACTGAAAAATCGTTTACTTTTTTCCTTTAGGTTTCCTAGAGATATGAATTAAGCTCTTGCTCAGGTAGGATAGGGAAAAGCTTAATTGCTACTTAAGAGCCCAGCATAAGAGAAATATGCAGGGTTAGGCAATATCTGAGTTTACAGTAAGCATATGGGTACAGTAAGATGTTTGCTTACACATTTCTAATATGTGACAATCTGTGACATAACTCAGAAATGCTTTCAAGCTTTTAAGAAGAATTTAGATTTGTGTTTAAAGCTCAAGGGGAGAAGAATGATCCTGACCTGCTTGGGGGTCAAATATACAAAGAGCTCATTTTATGTGAATATGGTTAGTTTTTGTTTTATTATAGCACTAAAGCTTTCAGCTAACTGTAGACTAATATAACTAATATTAGCTGTTGCAAATGTTCTTGTTCCTGTATTAATGCAATTAGAGAGCTTTTCCTAAACTTTTTTTTTGAACCTCATTACTATGTAAGCATAATTCAAAACTGCCTCAGAAAGCTGATGACAAGAACAATGTGGTCCACACAAAGTGGATTTTACATATGCACTTGCTACTGAGACTGATTTCCAGATAGGAGAACGTGTGTTACAGATATATATGAAACACATATAAAAAAGGTGTTCTTCAGTTAAAAACAAGCTCTGCCTGTCAGGATGATGAGTGTTCTAGGATTCTGAATCAATTATAAACTACTCTCTTTCATATACAGAGGAAAAACCCATACTGCTTGTTCCAATTTTCACTGTAACAGTAATTTATAAAGTTTTGTTAATTGGTTGAACGTAGATAGGCAGGCATAATAAAACACTTACATGACAGTTCATAAAAAAGAAGGACCTCTCAAGCCAAATCCATGTCCTACTCAGTGTGTTAGATTTGTCAATTTTTTCTGTTGGTAATTTTTTTCCCAGTTGCATCTAAAGACTTGAATCCTACAAGTTCTCCTTCCGTAGGATTTCTGCTGCAAGACCTGTCAGATCCAAGGCTTAGATGCTGTTACTAATCCTCACTTACCACCTTCTAAATCATAAAACTGTTATGTAGAGCTTTGGGCTCAGGGCATGTTTCTATTCAGCAGTCACATGAAAATAGTAGCTTTGGTGTCTACTCTGCAAGACTGGTCTGGGTTCAGCTTCACCATTACCAATATCTGATGTATTAATTTAATGCCCTTATTGCTGCTCAGTCACATTGGAACACAACAGTAAAATGCTCTTTTATGTTTGTTATACCAAGAATATCAAGGTATTTACCTCCACTGAAGAGGACGCTAGTACAGATACTCTATTGCTTTCTGAGATCTCAACAAATAAGTTTTTGTGGATTAAACAGATCCTTTGCAGAACTGACCTGCTCTTGTTACATATGCTTTACCATCACTGACCCTAACTAACATTTTGTTAAGATGCCCATTTAAATTTTTACAGTTCTTTTAGGAGTGTTATCTGTAGCCTCCTGTTCAAATTCTACTTTCAGTTACTGTTTTCTTCTGATCCCAAATTGCCTTTTGCATTTCTTAAATACTATCTTTTGCCATGCTGTCTCAAAGATGACATGGGATTGCAGTGTGCTGCTAATCATTTGCTATGTTTCACCATGGAAATGTCTGCCTTTTAGTGCTAAATAAAACCATAAATTTATATTAATATAGCAGCTTAAATTTATGATGAAAATCTTCTGGCTGAAATATTTCTTATAAACACATGTGTTGTGATAGTGATTATATGAAGAAGCTATGCCAAAGAATAACCTTCGTTTACTCTGTTGTAAACTACAGGCAATTAACTTTGTATCTCTGACCTCTGATTTAAATGGTCCTTCATCTGGATGATTTCTATCCATGTTGCTTCAGGCAGCAGATTAAATTCATGGTTCTAGAAAAGATGATGGCTATTACTACACAGCATATCCTGATCTCAAAGGATTTGGGGGAAGTTATGAAGTACTGAGATGGATTGAGGTATACACAGGCTTCTGGAGGAAAGAACCATTTTTTTTCCTTGATGATTATTATTTCCACAGGAATTTGGCTGCTACCTTTTCATAATTACTTTCTTTTTTTTTTTTCCCCAGCTAATTCTGGTTCTTTGCAAGGCCCACAGACTCCACAGTCCACTGGTAGTAATTCCATGACAGAAGTGCCAGGCGATTTGAAGCCCCCAACACCAGCATCCACACCTCATGGACAGATGACACCTATGCAGGGTGGCAGGTATGAAAAGGGCTTTGCTTCATTTTTTATTGCTCTATTTCTACAGCAGTTTAATCTAGTCTTTTCTAGCTGCTTTGGCACTTGTAGGATTTTGTGGTAAACCAGTCAGAGTCTAAAAAGTGGCAGAAAACTACTTATTTTTGGAGGAGAGAGAGGGAAAGGGAGGAAGGAGTAGAGAGAGGTCCATTAGCTTTCTAAACACCAGAAAAGGATCAGACAAGCAAAGAAGTGCATGTCAATATGTCAGTAGTGGGGAGGAAGGTGGAACCCAAGAGCACCTACTTAGGACTGCAACCTTCCTCTCCTCGCTTATCCTGTACACCTCTGGTCAACAGATCATGCTCAGGAAGGAGAAATGTGGGTTTAAAGGTGTTACCTGAATTCAAATTGTGAAAAGCATATACAATAACAGTAGTTGAGATAGCAGAGGGTTCAACTGGGTGGACCAAGAGATCCCTTTCAGTTCTGTGCTCTGTAAGTCTCACAGACTGGCTTAATCTGGAGTGAAGCTGTCTCACCATTCATTAAGGAGCCTTAGCCCACTGAAGTCCAACAAAACAGTTTTTTATGACTTCAGCAGGAACATAACTGAGCTCTGTACTGTGTGCGGAGCCACTCCAACTTCTTTTTTTCTCCATCTGTAATGCTGCAGAAAGGATAGCAAGAACTTTCTTTAATCATCTTAATTCCATTTGAGTTTTCTAGGTAAAAAAGAACAAAACAGTTTAGTAAAATTTCAGGAAGGTTCAGACTTCTAAATGAGTAATAGGAATGCACAAATAGTAGAATTAAATAAAAAACCCTGATCTCTAAGGTAAGTAGACAGAGAAGGTTGAGGGAAAAGTGGGTAGATTCTTTTAAATGATTGTCCATTTTGAAAGTCTTTTGCATCTTCCTTTTATGCATCCTGCACTGATCACTGCCACAACATTTATTGTAATCACATTTCTTAAGAATACAGGATGATGTTAATGTTTCTTTCTTCTTAATCTGCCAGAAACAGCGCAGTCAGTGTGCATGATCCCTTTTCTGATGTAAGTGATTCAGCGTTCCCAAAGCGAAACTCCATGACGCCAAATGCACCATACCAGCAGGGAATAAACATGCCAGATATGATGGGAAGGATGCCATATGAGCCGAATAAAGATCCTTTCGGTGGAATGAGAAAAGGTATTTTCTTTCTGGGAGCTTAAGTGTTCTTCCCTGTGTCTTAGGTAATCCAGACTTTGTAGTCAGAATGAGCTTTGTCACTGTGATGATGTTGCCATTGGTGTCCTTGTAGCAAAAAGAGAGGTGCAGTGCAGTTGAGTTTCTGGTCTGGTCATACTTTCCCCACTCAGAGTCATGCCCGTTATTTTGGAATTAAGAGAATCCTAAAAATGTTTGTAGGAATAAATTTTGGGAAATGGCATAAATCATAGGGTTAGAATTTATATTTCTTGATGTTGGTAAGCTACTCTGCAAATCAAGTGCTGGACTTCACTGTTAGAATGTGAAGTGGTGAAGCAACATGCCTGGTTGTAGTGGGACTGGTCTGGGAATTCACTGTGTGAAACTGAGCAAGCCCCCTGTTGCAGTGTGAGCCCTAATACTCTCTGTCTCAGTTTACATATTTTTCAGAATAGTAAAGCTAATTTTTTTCTTACTTGGGCAGTCCCTGACAAAAGGTTATAAAAGGTGATAAACACACTCCTAAGTTTGTTTATTTTTAAAAAGCAAAATTTAAAATTCATTTAAAAATTGACTCTGGTCCTTTTGGGTATTTAACCTACAGCTGGTTTTGTGGATATTGTAAGAAGATTTTAAAATTAATCAATCTTGCATGCCTCAGATACAGGAAAGTAGGAGGAAAGAACACAGGCAGGGCTCACAGTGGCTCTAAAGAGAAGAGCTGGTGGAGGAGATTAAGTGTAAACTAAAACAGAGCAAAAGGGAGATATGGCAAGAAGAGGCCATGAAACTGAGGAAAGGGAGAGATGTGGTGAAGGAGGGAGATGCTTTAAAAGAGGTAGTTAATTGAATGTGATTTTTTTAAAAAGCCTTTCCTTTAAATCCTTTTGCCTGGACTGTGGACACTAACATATAACGCAGTTGAAGGAAGGGAAAAAACTCTCTGCTTTATATTCACTTTAGGTTTTATATCCATATGAGATTAAGTGGGTGGGTTGTACTTTCTCATACATTTCACTTCATCCTGTTGAAACAGAAATATCTCTGTTCAGTATCTACTATGAGGGACTGAAGTCTCTTCTGTTTGCTTGGTGATTTAGATCTGATAATAGTGCCTTTTCTTGGACCCATAGAATATGCCCATCCTACTTGAGAAGCTATCTTAGGATACAGTATCCTTTCCAAAACAACATTATTGTATATGTGTGTATGAGGGTTTTATGGGGGGAAATAAAAACTTGATTCTGACAGCTTTGTAGTTCAAACTAGCAGATTTGCTTTCATCTGTTTGGTGAGGCTTATGTTTGCGTTCATTTTTAGCATTGTTTCAGTGAAAAGAACAAGAGTAAAGTTCATCTTCAGCTGTGAAGACCAGAGGGAAGCAGCTGCTTGGTGCCTGATAGCTCATTTCCATAGGAGGAGATTTCTTTCCTTTCTTGCAGCTCCTTAATATTATACCCATCATCTTGGTAGTGGTGGTGCTTCATGTGTTCCCATTAGACCCCAGAGAGCTTGTTAGACCTCCACCTGCTAATTCTCCTTGGCAGTGTTAGGGATCTGAACATTCTCCTGAAATACTTCATTGAAAAGAAAGTGAACTTCAAACACCCAGATTAATAAATTTCATTTTACTGACTGTTGCAGTGCCTGGAAGCAATGAGCCTTTCATGACCCCTGGACAAATGCCTAACAGTGGAATACAAGATATGTATAACCAGAGTCCATCTGGAGCAATGTCCAACATGAGCATGAGCCAGCGACAGCAGTTCTCTTATGGAAGTGGCTATGACAGGAGGTGAGTCAATCTTCAGGAAAAAGCAAATCCCATTAGTGAAAATGATCCTCTCTCTTCCCTTTTCATTTTCCCATTCCACTTTGCAGAGAACATAGCAGCCTACATTTCCTACAGCATCTTACTAAATCACAGGGAGTCAAACCACTGGTAATGACTGAGTCTAGCTGTTCACAGAAATTAATAAGGAGGAATTGTCACACCTTAGAAATCACTCAGGCTGCAGCAGATCAGCTCGTGGGTGTCTTTGACAGCTGCCTTCAGCTGGCAGCTGGGCTGGGCTGTGATAGCATAAAGTAGCACTTGAGTTGGTCTCCTGGCCATGTTTTTACCTAAACAGTTGCTAGTTGGCTTTTAATGAAAAACAAAATGCACAGTCTAAATGTGTCTGATTTGTGGTCTGTGAGTGAATTGCCTTTGGAGAGTCTGGAGTCTGTTGTCAGAGCTGTAGCAGCATCAGTCTTGCAGTGTGTCCAACAGGATTCTCATAAGCTTGTCCTTCAGTGAAGTACATGAAATAAATTTGGTCATCTTTTGTTTATCTGGGGAAAGGCTTTGGAAACAAAAAGTGGTAAAATCACTGATGTCTAAGCATTGGTAGAGCAAGCAGAATGTTCTGGGAATGTTTGAATTGTATTAAGTATTCTGGCAGATTTTGCTGCTCTGGCCATATTCCTGCTTTTCCTTTCATTGGGCTGTGTACTTAGCTTCTCTTTTTGTTTCCTGATGGTAACAGAGCAGTGCAGTGTGGGTCTTTAAAGTGTAAGGGCAAAGTAGTTTTCAGTCAGTAGTAGATGTGTCGAGTAAATCAAGTATCATCATGCTGTTCAATCGGTCACATTGCTGGGGAGTTGGTGAGAATAAGGGCTCCAGTGGAAGGTGTTAAGTCAAGAGAATGTTTCCTTTGATGGGTGTGATTTATTTTATTAGGTTGGCAATTTTGGAAAAGAAGTACTTTTTACAGAATGAGGTATCCTTTGTCATTTTTTAGGTTGGATCATGGGCTGGGTCCTGAAGGCAGTATGGTTCCACCTGGTCAAGGCAATGTGGTGCCTTCAAACAGTGACCCAAGGGTGTACTCTCCTAATTGTTACCCTGGCCAGCAAAGGTGAACCCTGATTTCTCTGTTTGTAGTACCCACAGTAACCAGCTAACAGCTGGCAACCCCTGTGAGAGCATGCAGGCAGAGTGTGTGGCCTCTCACTGTGTTACTTCTGTTTTGCTCTCTTGTTGAGGCTTTTAGCCTTGGTTCAGTTCTTGCAGGGCAGCAGAGGCTCCTGTGAGTGAGTTGATTTCTGCAGTAGTAGTATCAGCTGTTAGAAAAGGAGTGTACATCCTACCTTGTGTATCTGCTGCACAGCACAGGACTAGAATGTAGTTTACAGGCCCAAGTTCTCCAGAGCAGCATTAAATGATCCCACTTCTGAAGCTTCCACAATTTCACCTGGCTTATGGTTATCCTGTGGCTAAAAAACTGAACATTTAGAAAGTCTTCCCTTATGTATAACACGTGTGTACCTTTGCTGAAATTGTCTTACTGCATTTACTCTTGGGCAGCTACAGACAAGTCCCCTCATTTACATTGTTCTTTTAACAGGCATTGGATAATTTCTCTCCATCCATGTCATAATTTTAGGGACACTGAATTGCTATTTCTTTCTCTCTGGTCATCTCTTTTTAAAAGAAATTAGTTTTCTACATTTGGAAAAATGAGGTCCCATTAGTTCTTTTAACATGTCAAGTTCCCCAGTTCTCTGTTTCTGTACCTCTTCCTGATACATTATATAATTATCTATATCTATTGTCTATAATTATCCTCTAATTGTTGATGTGTTCTCACTGATAGTGTACAGAGAGAAATTACTGACATATTAGCCTGCAATACAGTGCTATTTTATCAGTCCTAATGCTTTCCAAGTACCTGATTTCAGCAACCTAAATTTCATTCATATATGCTTAAAATGTTGCACTGTAGTGCTCCTCAGAGGTCTTAAAGGCCCCAGGTAAGTTTCCAAGTGCAACACAACTTTGTCTCTTATTGTGTATGCTTCATTATGTAGCTTTAATTAAAAATTACACAAACATTACCAAAATTATGAGTACTGTTTTTACTCACTTTAAATTGATATATTCTTGAATAATCCAGAAAGTAGCTTGCTATTAGAATTGGATTAAAATTGTAGCTTGCCACAAGAATTTTTACCTGCCAACTTTTAGCTTTACACCAGATACTTCCCGACCAAGGATGGGCTCCCCATGTCTGCAGCTGCCTTTCTTACCTCTTTGCTGACCATACCCTCTTCCCGCTCCTGACTGCTCCCTCTAAATCCCTCTGTTGTATCTTCATTGCTCCTCCTCTCTTCTATCTACTTTACCTCCTTCCTTCTACAACCAGCTCCAGCAGAGCTTACTACCTCAGGCTCAGGACCATAACCAGACTGTACCTTCACCTTGCTTCCAGATGGCAGATACCTTCAAGGTGCAAGATTTTCAGAGGAATTTACTTTTCCTGGTGTCTTGAAAACTCCAGCAGCTCTAAGTATTGATTTGAATGCTTTATTTTAGGCATGAACCATATGGGCAGCAGTATCCAGGACAAGGACCTCCCTCAGGACAGCCACCGTATGGAGGACATCAACCTGGAATGTATCCACAGCAGCAGGTAGTAGAGGGGGAAATGGCTATGTTCATAACATTTGTTTCAAAAAATTCACCCCAGGATTCTGTATTGAAAAATTTGTTTATAAAGGGTATGTTTTTTGGCACAGAGGAGCATTGTAATTCTGGTCAAAGTCACAGCCTGTATGGATAAGCAGTGTATGTGCAGCTGTAGGTAAATGTGTTCCTTACACTGGAAGAATGTAAATTCTAACAGATGTTCTGTGGCTTTGGATGTGCATCAGGTGATTGTCCCAAGTTAATAACCAGCAGACTGGGAAAGTATAAAGCATAGTTAAGTGAAGTGACAAACAGAAGTGAAGTAACAAGTGAAGGAGCAAATAGAAAAGCTGTTTGGATGACAGGCTAAAGGGCCTTAATTTAATGTCATGCAGCCAAGTGAACTCAACAAAGAACTGGAACAAAGTTAAATGAGCAACACTCTTGATTATTTTCAGTGCTGTGGTGGGTCATATGAGATAGCTATCTTTAATTTAGATCAAAGGGCATATTCCAACATAATGTCTCTAGTAATAATATGGTACAAAAACATAGGAGAGAATGTTGTTGGTTTTAAAAATAGTTTAAACATTTGTACATTGCAGTCTCTCCAATTTCTACAACTCAAAAATACAAATTAATAAGCTTTTTTTGTTACATGCATGATTAATACCTCCTGAGCAAAATCCCACGTTAGAAGTCAATAGCAAAACTTCACTGACTTCAACAGGATGTTTCATTCTGCATGTTATTGATTCAGTTCTAGTCATACAATACCTGAAGTTGGCTTTTAGAATAGAAAGCATTTCCTTATTATAAAAAACTGAAATGTAAACTAGTTTTGAGCCAATTTCAGATAGTTCTTTTCAATTTGGGATAGAGTTTTACTAGGAAATTGGGGTCAGGAGTTGGGAGTGCGGTCGGGAGAAACCAAAACAGATCTTAGATTGCACTGTACTAAAAGCATACATAAATTTAAATTTCAGAATTTCTTGCTTATCTCTCTGGTTGATAATATCTCAAAGATGGCATAATCAGAAAACTGTTTTGTTGTTTTTTATGACGAGCATATGCTAGCAGTCTAGGTGATTCAGTGGGGTAACTGCAAAGATATATAACAGAATAGTTTGTGATATTCCATGCTAACATGTGCAGGAAATATATTAACTACATGTTCCTTCAAGTGAGGAGACAGCTAGAATTGTAAAAATATATTTGGCTCTGTCCTTAGTACTGTTTATATATTTTGTACAATGACTCTTGAAAGCAAAATGCGTTAATGCAGAAAAGCAGTGGAGAATGAAGGACAAGGATCCTGACCAGCCTCGGCCTCTCTCTCCCATCCCCAGAGGATTCCACTTCTTCATTTAGCTAGACATTCTGTTGCCAGTAGCTTATTTACAATTTCCTAAATCTTACTCTGTAGTGGTTCAGGAGGAATGTGAAAAATGACCCTTTCAAAGCTTTATCTACAACCCAAAGGCTAGGGAATGACCTGCAAAGGGGGTGACTGGAGCATGAACTCCTGGGGCTAATGAAACACTTGGAGCCAGGTTTTCCAGTTTCTGTATGAATGCTTACATCCCAAGAGCTATTATGCAGCAGGTGCCCTGTCTTGGTTGCAGGCTTTTTGTCCTCTGTGAGGTCTCAGAATTCCACATCTCAGTGGAGAGAGGGACACGTGGTGCAGTCTCAGTATCCTGCTGAGCATGTCGACAGGAGGGAGGAGCTCAGGTGCATCACTGTCCTCTGCACTGGGGACCATTGGGCACAGTGGCACTGCATGTACCAGGGTGCTGGAGTGCTTTTAAAAAGGCACATGCTTCATTCCCAAGTGTCTGCTGTGAGCACTGAGGCACTGTGGCAAAACAAACACGACCTTCTTAGGTGTGGCTGCTGCCAAGTCATTTCTTAATGTAGAAATTGGCCCCAAGGGTGCAATTTGGTACAGCACGTAGTTCATGTAAGGCTGGAAATAGGTATTTCTCAGATAGCCAGAAAGCTCTATAGTAAGTTTTAAAAAAAATACTTTCATACAATACAGTAGTTGTGGTTTTATGTGCACCAAAGTTGGCAGATGACTTTATGAATCCCAGAGCTGTTTTAACTTTCCCATATTGAATACAGAGAGAATTTTATCTGATCTTAACTCTAGTACATTAGTATACATTGTACAATGCTACTGAGCTACTGAGTTTCCGGGGGAGCTGTAACTTTGAATTTGCCATAGATCATATATTCAAAAATCACCCATTTAATTCACATTTTTTGCTTCAGAACACTCAGTGTGGTTTGAACTGTGGAACAAACTCCCACAGGAACTAAGGACCGCTGCAAACCTTACCACCTTCCCCTCAAAGAGCAACATGTCTTTTTTTTGTTCTGCCATCTTAAACATAAATACATTCAAGCTTGTATGGTTTAAAAACCACTCAGCTCTCCCCAAGGTAAAACAGCTTACCTCACACAACATTCCCCATTTGAGAGGGTGAGAAACAAAGAGGGAATAAACCATAGGTGGCAGCTGTTAGTTACATTGCTTAATTCATTACAGAACAGCAGGGTAAGAACCTGCATAAACTAGAACAGAATGTTTGGATGTGACCATTTGCTGTAATAATCTCACAGTAAATTAAATGTGATTAGGATGATTTGGGAAGAGGATGGTTGCCCAAAGAGGACAATATTCCTGGGAATTACACAGAGTATCAAATGCAGCAGATTGTTTTCTTCTATTAATAAATTTATTGTCTGTAGCTGATGTCATATTGTAAGATTCAGTGTTTCAGACATGCATGCTTGCAGCATATCTTGTTACTTTAAGAGTTTATTCAGTGCTTGTCTCTTGAAAAGATTCACTGGGTGGTTTTGAATTTTTTTGAAGATTTTTCTCCTTAATAGACTAAGCATAAAAAAGAAGTGAAAATGTTTTAGTTGGTGAGGACTGTTGCCTTTTCATACATGTCTGAAATGACCAGTTGAATTTAGTCTGACAGATGGGGAAGGAAAAGGGAAAAAATAGAGCAAGCATAAGAAAATTTAGCCCAAGGATAAGCTTCCTTTTGGTATTCAGTTATAAGCACAGCAAAACAGAGGCTTAAAAAGAAAGCACTGGATCCAGCCTAACTGCGCTGTGTGCCCGACTCTGGAGTCGGCACGATTCCTCTAGAACTAAGCGCCTTCAGCTTTTTGAATGAGCTTTCATCCAGTATATTTGTATTGTGTGCAGAGTAAAAGTGACACATCTTTCCAAAATTTTCTTTCAGAACTACAAGAGACACATGGATGGCATGTATGGGCCTCCAGCCAAACGCCACGAGGGGGATATGTATAACATGCAGTATGGCAACCAGCAGCAGGAAATGTATAACCAGTATGGCAACGCTTACACAGGGCCTGACAGGAGGCCCATGCAGGGACAGTACCCATATCCATATAACAGGGAAAGGATGCAGGGCCCAGGACAAATGCAGCAGCATGGAATACCTCCCCAGATGATTGGTGGCCCCATGCAGTCGTCATCCTCCAGTGAAGGTCCTCAGCAGAACATGTGGCCAACACGAAATGATATGCCTTACCCTTACCAGAACAGGCAAGGTCCAGGAGGCCCTGCACAGGCCCCTCCGTATCCAGGGATGAATCGCACTGATGATATGATGGTACCTGACCAGAGGATAAACCACGAGAGTCAGTGGCCTTCTCATGTCAACCAACGGCAGCCTTCTTATATGTCATCCTCAGCCTCCATGCAGCCTATCACTAGACCTCCTCAGTCATCCTACCAGACACCACCCTCTATGCCAAACCACATCTCCAGAGCTCCAAGTCCAGCATCCTTCCAGCGCTCTTTGGAAAACCGTATGTCTCCAAGCAAGTCTCCTTTCCTACCCTCCATGAAGATGCAAAAGGTTATACCCACAGTTCCAGTGTCACAGGTCACAGGACCTCCACCCCAACCACCACCAATTAGGAGAGAGATTACCTTCCCCCCAGGCTCTGTAGAAGCATCCCAACCAGTCTTAAAACCAAGACGAAAGATTACCTCAAAAGATATTGGTAAGCATCAAAAAAAACAACCTTAATATAAATTGTGAGGAAAGGGACTTAGATTCTGGTTTGGGGTTTTTTTTCACATTTTAAGACACTCTTGACAAATAGTGAACTTTGGTAACTACAGTGTGATTGTTTTCAATAAAAATGTGATAACGTGCATCAGTGAGGATGATGGGTAAAACTCATCCTGACAATCTGACATGAAATGAAAGCAATATTTTATATGGAGACTCAAGGTCTTCACAAATGCATTAAAAATGAAGCTTGCCTCAGATTTCAAAATGAGATGTGTTGAAATGTCCTTTAGAATGTCTGTTAAATCACCAGTACAGCATTTAGTTTAGCAAAGCTTTCCATGTTTTTGTTCCATGGAAGCTCATGCTATTCTGCTCTGTAGTTGCAGTCTCTGCTTTCCTTGAATGGTCCATTAAATCATTCCATAGCATTTGTCCTGTTTGTTTCTCCCCCACTTCTTAAAAAGATCCCCAAGTATTTTCTTATCTTAAATTTTGGTTACATTTAATCCATTCAAGTTCTTATATTTCAGATTTCCACATTCCTGACAAGAGTGTTCTACCTTTGTTTACTGATGAATTGGGTTAGTCAAGCTCTTTAGTTTGTACTATTGTTTCAGGCTCAGCAGTGTCAGGAAGAAGGGCTCTGCCAGGATATTTTCCAGCACTAAGGCTTAGCAGCAGTTACAGAAAACTGAACAGAACTAAGCAGTGAAAATAGGGTCTTAATCAGTAGCCGCTGAATTTAAATTTGTGCCCTCACAATGTCACATTTTACTCTTTCAGAACTCACTAACAGTCTCCAAGGATGCACTAATGCTGTTTTATTTCTCCCTCTTTCTTTCTCCAGTAACTCCTGAGGCCTGGAGAGTGATGATGTCTCTTAAATCTGGTCTTTTGGCTGAAAGTACCTGGGCGCTAGACACTATTAATATTCTTCTGTATGATGACAGCACTGTTGCTACTTTCAACCTCTCTCAGGTAGGTGGGAAAGCATTATACTTCTCAACTTTCCAGGGAAGGAAAAGTGAAATAAGACACCTACAAAAATGCTGCTGGCTTTTCCAATTTGTTCTAATTAACATAAATTTTAATATTGAAAAAATTGCACTTGTTTAAGATTGCCAACAGTGAGTAACAAGAGGCAGATAGAGGTCACATAGAGGAAATAAAGAAGCCTGAAAAAAGGATGTTTCTTGTAGAAAGGAGGATGTAGGAATATAAGAATTTTAGCACTACTAAAAGCCTAATATGTAAACTCACACACATGATAGTATAATCCCTCAAAACAGAAGTATGTTAGAAATCTGTGTTTCTTTAAAGACTTTGCAAGACTATATTAAACTGGTTTTTGGTGACAACTTGTCTTGTTCAGTATTTCCCTGTGAGACTGTGGGATTTTATTTAATTGCTTATTTTCTCTTCCATTTCTTCTTCCAGTGAATTAAGTTTTCACAGGAATAACAAATTGACAATTTAAAGGCTAAAATCCACTGTCTATCCATAGTGTACAAATAACACAGGACTTAACAGTGTGTGCTTTCGCCTCACTGCCTCCCAGCATTTTTCAGCTCTGCTCTAATCATTTGCCTGTTAGGTGGTAGTAATAGATGGCATGCTGATAATTCACATCATCTAAAATTTGTACAAATTAAATATTCAGTTTCTCTCCTCCATTCATTCCTTGGTTACTAATAGTGTAGCTCATCATTTTTTAAATATAATGACTTTTTTTTTTTAAATACCGACACAAATGGTACATTACATCCCACCTGACTTTAGAACTAGGGATATCTATAGCATGATTTATCTCACCCAGAAAAAGAGATCTAAAATAGGTCAGATGAATCATACCCTAGAAATGGCCTGTAAAAGACCATTGATTATAAAAGGAATCAAGACAATTAGGTTAGGTTGTGTGACTAGTGTGGGTGTTTGAAGTTAAAGGAGGTGAAACTCCTCTGAATTCTGACAGAAGTTGTGTTAATACACCCTATGCAAATGGCACAGAATACTGGACATATTGTAAATACTTATATTCTTTTGTTATGTTTGCTTTGGACTCTGTTTCCAATGGCAGCCAGGATCATATGATGCCTGGTAACTCCTGTGGTTTTGATAAGCATCGGTTTGTTCTTAGTTCCTTGAGAAGTTGGCAATCATAAGAGAATATAGAATGGGCAAAATATAGAATGGACATTTTACTGAAAACCCATTAGCCCACAATTTAAAAAAAAAACACATTAAAAGCCAGACAATTGAGCTGAATGCATCATAACAACAAAAAAATTTTAATAATAAAGCCACTAAGTGTAAATTAATACCAAGTTCAAGTACTGCCTTTCCATAAGAAAGTGATTACAAGTTAATTAAGAAGATTAAACCTAAATGAAAACTGTTTCTGAAGGGTGACTTACAGCACCAGCTTCCAATAACAGTTTTAAACTACTGCCAGACAAAAAAATGGATCTGTTCCAATAGAGATGAGATAATAGTCTAGGATATCAGTACCTGGACCCTGAACGGCAGGTTCCTACATGACAGTTGGTTTTAGAGACAAAGGAGGAAAGGAAATATTGCAAACTTTAGATATCTAATAAAAGTAGAAATCAGAAAAAATAGCCAAGTTAGGAGCTTCAGTATTCTGTACAAAAAATGAAGAGTAATAGTCATTTCCAAGGGAACAGAACAGCTAAGCCAGATGTCTGCTACGGCTTAAAGGAGACATTTATAAGTTCTGTACGTCTCATAGCTGTTACAGCTGAAGCAAACAGAGCTGTGATAATTTGACATTATATACTGTTTGGACAGACTCTAGAAGAATTTCTTTTGATTAACTTCTGCCATGCAGGACCTAGCCACAAGTCCACAGCAGGATGAGAGAAATATTCACATATGAATGCATCAGTGTTCCTAGTAAAATTCCATGCAGACAAAAATATTTATGTGATTTTTATGTTCTTTCTCTCTTCTTCCCTCAGTTGTCTGGATTTCTTGAGCTTTTAGTAGAATATTTTAGAAAATGCCTGATTGACATTTTTGGAATCCTTATGGAATATGAAGTGGGAGATCCAGGCCACAAAGCACTTGATCACAAAGCAGCCAAGAAAGATGATAGTCAGTCCTTGGCAGAGGATACTGGAAAAGATGAGAATGACGAATGTATTGACTATTTTGATGAAGATGAGGAGGAGGGGGAGGATGAAAAGGTAGAAGGAGAAGAAAAGAGCATTGTTTTTTCTACTCCTGGTGCCATTGCTGATCCAAGTGAGAGGCCAAAACAAGCCAGTAAATTTGACAAGCTGCCAATAAAGATTGTAAAGAAAAATAACCTATTTGTTGTTGACCGATCTGACAAACTTGGACGCGTTCAGGAATTTGATAGTGGACTTCTCCACTGGCAGCTTGGTGGTGGTGACACAACTGAGCATATCCAGACTCACTTTGAAAGCAAGATGGAGATTCCACCACGCAGGAAAGCCCCTCCTCCCTTGAACTCTCCAAGCAAAAAGAAGGACCTCGAGGGGAAAGGTGAATCTGAGGAGCAGCAAGAAAAGAGTATAACAGCAACCATTGATGATGTCCTCTCGGCTCGGCCAGGAGCACTACCTGAAGACTCAAACTCTGGTTCCCAAACAGAGAGCAGTAAATTTCCCTTCGGGATCCATCAAGCCAAAAGCCACCGGAATATTAAACTGCTAGAGGATGAGCCAAGGAGCCGGGATGAGACTCCTCTATGCACCATAACTCACTGGCAAGACTCCTTGGCCAAACGCTGCATCTGTGTGTCAAATATCGTCCGTAGCTTGTCTTTTGTGCCTGGCAATGACACCGAAATGTCCAAACATCCAGGCTTGGTGCTGATCCTGGGAAAGTTGATCCTTCTTCACCACGAGCATCCAGAAAGAAAGCGAGCACCGCAGACTTACGAGAAGGAGGAAGAGGAGGACAAAGGGGTGGCCTGCAGCAAGGATGAGTGGTGGTGGGACTGCCTCGAGGTCTTGAGGGATAATACATTGGTCACATTAGCCAATATTTCTGGGCAGCTAGACTTGTCTGCTTACACGGAAAGCATCTGTTTGCCAATTTTGGATGGCTTGCTGCACTGGATGGTGTGCCCGTCTGCAGAGGCACAGGATCCTTTTCCAACCGTGGGGCCCAACTCAGTTCTTTCGCCTCAGAGACTTGTGCTGGAGACCCTGTGTAAGCTCAGTATCCAGGACAATAATGTGGACCTTATCTTGGCCACCCCCCCATTCAGCCGTCAGGAGAAACTCTACGCTACTTTAGTTAGGTACGTTGGGGACCGCAAAAACCCGGTCTGCCGAGAAATGTCCATGGCGCTCCTATCGAACCTTGCCCAGGGGGACACATTAGCAGCAAGGGCAATAGCTGTGCAGAAGGGAAGCATTGGAAACTTGATAAGCTTCCTGGAGGATGGGGTCACTATGGCCCAGTACCAGCAGAGCCAGCATAACCTCATGCACATGCAGCCTCCGCCTCTGGAGCCGCCTAGCGTAGACATGATGTGCAGGGCAGCCAAGGCCTTGCTGGCCATGGCGAGAGTGGACGAGAACCGCTCCGAGTTCCTTTTGCACGAGGGTCGTTTGCTGGATATCTCAATATCTGCTGTCCTGAACTCTCTGGTTGCATCTGTCATCTGTGATGTACTTTTTCAGATTGGGCAGTTATGACATAAGTGAGAAGCCAAGCATGTGTGAGTGGAGATTAGAGGGTCACATATAACTGGCTGTTTTCTGTTCTTGTTTATCCAATGTAGGAAGAAGGAAAAAAAAAGAATCTTTGCTCCTCTGCCCCATTCACTATTTACCAATTGGGAATTAAAGAAATTATTAATTTGAACAGTTATGAAATTAATATTTGCTGTCTATGTGTATAAGTACATCTTTTTATTTTATTTTTTTTAACCAAAGTTGCTGTCTAGTACATTCAAAGGTCACACTTTTTTTTTCCATAGATTATCCTTTTCAATGTTCTTTTCCATGTTTGTATTGCATATTTTTTGGGAAGCGAACTAGTGACTTTTTAAAAAAAAATGTTATGGCAAACCATTGTATGATGGGAAAAAAATCTCACCACTTTGAAACAAAAAGGTGAAAAATAACCAACATACCAAGTTCCTGTGTGTTTTATTTTTTCAGATAAGGAAAAAATAAAAAAAAACTTGTATACCATCACCCAAAGCTCTGTGCAATAGAAGATTCTAGTGATGTAGGTATAGGGGATCAAGGAGGGTGTCAGTCAGTAGTCAAAATCCAAAACAATACTGATTTCTCCTCAGGAGAAATGGTTATATTAGGCTAGGAGCAAAACAAAACAAAATAAGTCAAGTTAAAAGATTTTTAAACAAAACCTGAAGTTAAACATCAATTGCTTCCTCACCAGAACTGTCTTGTCTACATCTTTTTTTTTTGACCTTCCACAATGACAGTTCTTCACAATTCCTTTAATCATTTTTTAAAATATTTTTTTATTGCCTAAGGGCCGTGATGTATATAGAAGTTGTACATGAAACATACCCTCATTTTTTTTTTTTTTAGTACAAAGTTTCTAGTTTCTTTTTCATGATGTGGTATCTACAAAGTGATAGTAGAATTTTTTTTTCTTTCATTTGGGCCATATCTCCAAAAAATAATAAAAAAAAAGAAAAAAGAAAAAACCCAACACAGAAAACCAACAACTGAGGGTAATGTACAAGTTTCTGTATGTATAAAGTCATGCTCTATTTCGGGAGAGCAGCCGATCACAATTTGCTTTATAAATCAAGGTGTGGAAATGGTTACGTATGGATTGATTTAAGAAAATGGTTACCAGTCTACAGACAAAAAGTATATACAGGAAAAAAAAAAGCAAGAAACACAACTTCAAAGATTTTTCAGTGACAAGAATCTGCATTTGTATTTCAAGATAATGTAGTTAAAAAAGAAAAAACTTGATGTAAATTCCTCCTTTTCCTCTGGCTTAATGAATTTCATTTATTCAGTATAAAATCTTTATATGTTCCACATGTTAAGAATAAATGTACATTAAATCTTGTTAAGCACTGTGATGGGTGTTCTTGAATAGTGTTCTAGTTACAGTGTGGGATATCAGAAAGCAAACTAATTACAAGAAAGAACAATAATGATTATTCTCTTTCCCCTACTTTATTATTATGACCTTCAAAAATATTACGCTATTGTATTGCAGCAACTTGCTCTTCTTTTAGAAAAGCCTTCTCACATCTCAGAGAAGCATTTTTAATTATTATATATAAAACCACGAAGCCTCAAAGGGGAAGACATGGCTGACAAGTGATAGTTCTGACTATGCAGGTACCCAGTCTCCGTGCTGTGTTTGGGGGACTGAAGGCAGATGTTAGAAAAAGTGACAAAAGATTTTGTTAAAGCAATAACCAACTGGAAGAAATCGATCTGTATTCACTACCTGTAATTCTCTCTGTTGGTTAAAGGTGCAAATACCCCAGTGATGTGGGTATTTAGAATAAACACCCACCCACTTCTGGATACTGTATGTGTCATTGCATACTTACGTGGCCTCTTATGCTGGGAGTCCCCCGTTAGAGTGGATCAGGCTTTAATGGAGCACATCCATCGTTATAATTGGTGGGAGATGGCCATTTCCCTTTCAGGAAGTAGCTGGCTTCAGATACATCCACTCTCACCTGGTGATACCTTGTTGCTGAATATTGTTCAAGCACTAATTTTTGCTATTTTATCTTGGATCATTGACTTTGTTAGTGTGATCATAAAAAGCTAATAATAATCAATTTCCCTGGAATTGCCACATAATTACACTGTTAGTGGATGTCCTCCTCCCCTCTCCAATAACAATACAGAGGTACTTGAAAATTACAGCCCCCTTTGGCACACTGCCCATTTTATTCATATAGATTGCTATAACATTAATATATGTAAGAGAATTTCAGAGACAGGTAAAGTACATACAATTATAAACCAAGTTTGAAACGTGCCTCCCTAGTGTCACGAGAAAGTAATTTCTCTTTCTAGCTTCTCTTACCCAGTAATCTCTCCACTCCTACATCATCTGCTGCAGTGGTCTGTCTTCCTCTTGCATATCACTGCTTCTAGAAATGTCTGGTGAATTATAACCCACTTGCAACTCTTTATCACAGAGGGAGGCACATTTCAGGGATGATTTTTACAGCCTTTTGCTGGGCAGTGTTAAAGTAGAATGCCCTGGTAAACATATTTCTTACCAATATTTAATGCTTGATGCTGCCCCATGGATACAAGCAAGCAGTTAAATAAACCCTCTGCTGAGTGCTACGCACCCCTTTCTGATCAAGGACACCAAAGGACATCTATTCTCTTCCCTCTTCAGTCTTCAGATCCTGAATCCTCTGGGGAAAACTGCACCTGTGGCAAAACACTGAGCTGTCAGAGGCAGCATGTTAATGCTCCTCAGGACTGCTCCAAGCCTGCTTAAAGAACATGGGGGAAAAACACCCAGCCAGCCACATAATGCCCATGTGTATGTGACATTTCCTGCCACCTTTCCAGCTGGGCTAAGAAGCAGCCAAGGAAACGCAGCAGTGAAAGGAAAAGGTTAACAGTAAGGACTCTGCCTGAACATGATTTTATTCTGTTACAGTAACAGTACTAACAGTCTGAATCACTGGTTAGTATTACATCACATTTATTGGAGGAAAGGTGACACATCAGAGCTCCAATTCTCCCTCTTCTCTTCGTATGATTTCATTTTTGCCACAATGTCTCTTAAGCCTTTGGAGACGACCTGCTCATGAGGCTTGTGCACTTAGCATGTTCTGATGGAGTCCTGACCAAGCCTGAACTGCTGTTGGTATTGTTCTTACATAAGGCATTTATTTAGGAAGCAAATTCTACATTTTTATGCAGATGTGATCACTGTGATGAAGCTCAGAGTAGTAGTAACAGGATGGACTATTTGAGTTATTTAAGGGAAAGCAGCCAGTTGGTATTTTTGGCACTAATCAACCACAAATACTTGAATAACTAACTGTATACATGTATATAAATCTACCTGATTCTTTGGCAAACCCAAGCAATTAATTACTTGCAGGTTGAAAGAACATCCATGTGTCTTTACTGACCTTTAGAATCACTTCAGGAATTAAATGCCTGTCCTCTTTGACAGGAAAAAATGGTTTTGGTTCTTGTTAACATAACTACCTACACTACTCTTTCAAAAACCCCACAAAACGAAAAACAACACATGAAAATATCCTGCTCAGACACTCCATGTTTTCAACTACCCAAAATGAAAGACAGAAAGGAAAACTTCCTGTGTTCAAAAGTCTGTGCACTTTCTCTTCCATCTTCTTTTGCTGTTTCCCACCACAATCTGTGCCATCACCACCCCAAGACCATTACCTTTTGGCATGGATGCACCTAGAAGAAAAATTTACTTGATTAGAGGAATACTGTAGGAAAAGCATATACATATTACATGTTAACAGTGCAATTCAGGCTGCACCTCTTATTTTATGAATAATATGAAAATACCTCTTACTAATAAAGAGATGTAGCTGAAAAAAAAATTACCATCATCTTCACTGTTCCCCCCCACAGAAGAGAGAGAATTGTAAGCATTCATATAGTCCAGAGAACAGAGGTGGCACACTGTGAGTTCACCTTTCAAGAAGCTGTGAGTAGATTCCTTACTCTGCAGGCAGTAGTGGTGATGTACCTCAGCAATAAAACACTACCACAGAAGTCAGTCTTTTTAACTAAGAGCAGTCTGAAATTTTGAGTCTGAGTACTCCAGAGAAAGATTACTTTTATCACCTTTGGCCCAGAATTATCAAATGTGTGGACCCATGCTCACAGAAAAAAACCACAAAGCAGTCCCTGCTGCAAAAAGCTTATTTTCCAAGTCACGAAGAAGTAACTGCAGGTAGAGAAAGAGGCGAAAATAGAAACAAAAACAACAGTAAACTGAGAAGGCAGGTACTACTCTTGTAATTAAGTGGAATTCAGAGATCTAGAACACAGCCTCATGCCACTTTAATTTTCCTCAGGATAATTTGTGACATTTCAGGGTGCTCCCTGCTTGCCTTCTCATTACATCTTACAGTTCCTCATGGCAAATTCCTTTCCATCCATCCCTCAGAAAAATTATGTTAAAGATTACTGAGCATGAAGAAAGGAGAGAGGAAAACTAAGGGGGTGGGGGGGAAGGGTGAAAAGGCATGGTCATTTGGAGAAAGGCAGAACACAAAGCTGAAAGAAAGGCTTCCTATGTCCCTTACTCTATTTTTATGTTTATGCCATTCCAAAGAAACAATTAAACCAAGCTAGGGGAATTTGGCATTTCATTGGTGGCTGGTATAAATACAATGGAATTAAAAACATATTTTTAGGGGGAGCAAGGGAAGGAAAGTATGAGTCTCCAAGTGTAGACTGGTAAATTCAAGTTTTTCTTAATTGCATTTACCTTTGTTAAATCCACCCTCAGTTGTTTATTTGTGCACTGTCAGAAATGGGTGGCCATCCTTTCTGTGAGTGTCAGTAACTCCAGATAAAGGAGACAGCTGTTCTGGACTGCATACCAAATACAGCCTGTCATGTGCCTAAACTACTCATTTTGTGCTTCTAATTACTAATTCTAACACAAGCTAAAATGCATTTCAGTGCAATCCTGTTGTACAGTATAAAGAAGTATAGGTTTATACTTCACATTTGTTTTAACTGGCATAAACAAATGAAGTAGCAAGATCTTCATCTGATGCCCTCAACAGAGCTGTCTTCCCCTGCATTTGTTAATTTACTTGTTCTGTCATTACTTAGTATATATTGCATTTCCATTAATTAAGCATAGTTATCTACATTGAAAGGGTGATGCAGTGGAATTGCCTAGCTAGCAGATCAAATCCCTAATGACTTGGGCATCTCTACAGTGTTTATTCAGGTCTGCAAAGAGACTTCTGAAGGACAAACATTCTGACTTTTGCTCCACTACAGAGCATTTTTAAAAGGCAATTTGATGTATTATCATGCCAGGAGAAAGATATGTTTGCCTAACATGAAAAATACATGCTAGATAAAGCTTATGGTACTCCATGATGAAATTCTACTTTACATGTAGTAATTTGCTTACCAGTTCTACATGTGCATCTGCAACTGAGAAGAAGAAAAACAACAAAATCATGTTTTACCATCAAATTATAATGCCAAATTTCAAAATCAACTATTAAACTTCTTTCGCTCTTAGATATTTTGGAAAGAAGCAATGTTCCACTGGATATATCACCAGCAGTGAAGCTTACAGTGGACTTCTTCAAGAAGATTCTTTCTTTGTTTTTTAATACAAAAGATAAAGCTCCATACATACTGAAACACAAAACCTGATAAATACTTTAAATTAAGCATAAAGCTTCATCCACAGAACTACCACTATGCATTTTATATGCAGTTAGGGACGACAGACTTGTAACAAGTTATTTGTTATCAATATTCTGAGTCCACCTAAAAAATAAAAGTGTATTTCCACCCATTTGCATAGTCAGGCATGTTTCACTGGCATGTGTCTCACAGTGCAGAAGTTGTTTTTTAGTTCCTATTTTTTATTAATATTTACTCCCTAAACCTCTCATGTTGCTTCCTTCCTTTCCCCCATGCATTTGTATCAAATAGAGTCCTGATTTTTCAAATAACTAGCCCAGGGTTTCTCTGTTATTGATACCTTCTAGTATACAGAGGGATTTCTTCATTGTGCTGAATTAAGTCACCAGTTCTTGAGACAGCAGCATGTTCCAAAGGTTCTTATCCTGCAGGGGAAAGTGACTGCAATGGCTCCCAGCCTTAACAGTGCAGATGTGGCCAAGATCTGCCAAGGACAAAGAAAAGAGCCTCGAGTTACACATTTGACATCCCTAACCTTCAAAAGACGGGCATGTTACTTAGAGTAAGCATGGTCAGGAATACCTCCCACTAAACCAGGCTGCTCAAAGCCCCATCCAGCCTGGCCTGGAACCCTTTCAGTCATGGGGCACCCACAGCTTCTCTGGGCAACCTGTTCTAGTGCCTCACCA